AAGAAGCTGTTGTCTTGTGTTTTTCTTTTCTGTGAAGACCTTGGAGGCTACTCTGTGAAGACCCCTGTTTTCTACAGCGCACCCCAATAAAACCTGACACAAAGGCCACAAGAGAGTGTCCTTGTATGTTGCATGTAGAGCTGTGGCAAACCACAAATAAGTGAAAATGTGTATATCAACCCCATGGATAAGGAGGCCCTACTGTAAAATGCTTTGTGGAAAAAGATCCTAAATCCTAGAGCCTCTCTAAACTGTTGTCTTTATCTCCCACAAACATAAAATGAAATTCATATTTGTGATTCCTTTCATGAAGGGGAAGATAATCAAAATGCTAACCAACAATTTCATGAATGTTTATCGTCAGAACAAGAAATTCTTACAGATTTCTTACCTGGCTGTAATTAAACTTGTTTGCTTTGGCCTGCATAATATCCGGTGTATCTGGCATCACATGGATCTTTGTTTTATCTGCCTCCCACGCCTCTATGTAAGAACGCTGTTAGAATAAAATAACATACTGTGAAGTGATACAATGGCACATTTATACAGGTATGCATGTTATATGGATTGTTGCGTTAACAAGCATGTCTACAGTTTGATTTAAATATGGAATTAAAACGGAGTGCATTGCCTGTGCATAAGAAGCACTCATGTATATCCAGCATTTAGGGGTTGTAATGGGTCTCTGTGATCACCACTGAGAGACACATGGCGCTGCTTCCCAGGGACTCTATCACTGGGTGCTAACCCACCCACCTAATAGAGGTGGGGGGCAAGCTTGTACTCATTGGCGATAGCTCTACCAAGGTCAGTATTTTGTCACTTCCTATGGAAGAGAATAACATTCGTTTACTTGGACTGGGGAAATCTCTATCAAATGGTTGGTTGGTTGGTTGGTTTATTTATTTATTTATTTGGCTTCTAGATCACCCATCTGACTAAAGGCCACTCTAGGTGGTTCACAACATTGAAAATGATAATAATAACCATTATATAAACAACAACATAACTACAAATTAAAATAAAAACAAAACTAGCAGTACATTAAATATATTAAGAAACAATTATAAAATCAGCAGCAATTAAAGCAAGTTTGTGGCCAATACTTAAGATGAAGTATTTTGGAAAGCCTGCCAAAATAGCAGCGTTTTTAATGATTTCTTAATCATTAAAAGGGGGGAAGTCGGGGGGGGAAAGTCAGGTGGATTTCAGTAAGTATGCAATGGCCCATATCCTCTTGGCCGTTTTGCCAGCAGAACACTAAACTATGTAACTTTTGGAGGTGAATTGCTGCAAGTAGAGAAATCACCATTGATGGCACTTGTTGCACAGAGTTGTGTGTTTCAGCTTGTTACTTATAATCATTAGAGTATTTTTTTTTAATTTAGGGCAATTTGTCACCAAAGGTTATAACATCTGTGCACTTAAACACTTGGATTTGGGCCAATATATTACTTTCATATGTCTATTGAAAACCATCTATCATACTGCAAATAAGAAGCAAGGTGTGGGATACTGGTGGGTGGATTATTTCCACACTTGTTAGCAGGGTTTACCTTATTCATAACATTAGCGTTGTGCTTTGCCAGTTCAATATCCATAGAATCAGTCAGCTTCTTAAATGGGAAAAGGCTTGGGTGCTGGCGGTACTTTGTATCACTTGCAATTTCCGTGGCTTTCTTAGACTTCTCCACATCCAAAGACCCCATAGGACTCCAACCAAGACCTTTATACCATTCATTGTAATCTTGCTTGTATTCGTGCTGTAGGTGGAGAAGAGTGGAACATAGCTTCAGATGAAAAGCTCTGAGCTACTACAACACAAAACGGCTGCATAAAGACACCTATAAAGCCATTGACTAGTAGTACAGTGGACCCTTGACTTACAGACGGCTTGACTTACAGACTTTTTGAGTTACAGACTTCTCTGGCCGCAAAATTTAGGTTTGACTTGCAGACTGAGATTTGACTTACAGACCAGAAAAAAACCAAAATGGAACAAAAACGGCCTGTTATGGGATTAATCGGTTTTCAATGCACTGTAGGTCAATGGAGACTGCTCTCAGCTACTACAACACAAAATGGCTGCATAAAGACACCTAGAAAGCCATTGACTGGTAGTTCAAAAAGAAAGCAGGCGCTTACATCACTCTGTATCCGATTCATGTTTCTGGCCTGTTCCAAATTTACTGCATCTGGCAAGAGCATATATTTGTGGATGAGTTTCTTGTAGTTGATATTGGTGATGTTGCCTTGTGCTTCCTTGGCAGCCATGATGCTGAAAGTATCCGCAGGCGTGTTATACCGGGTCTTGCTGATTTCATAGGCTTTCTTGTATTCCCGATCTGACTGCATCTTGGCCACTTGCATGAAGTGGACAAGCTTAGGGTCATCCTGAAGGCTGCGGAAGCCAACCATCTTACCCTTGTCCTTTTCGTAGGCTAGTTTGTACTTGTACTGCAAAGAAGCAAGAAACAGCAGAAGAGGAGCAAAATGTAATTTCAGGAAGGTCTGAGCCTGAATGGTACTACACCATAATAACAAAAAGAAAATGTGTATGCATACTTGAATGTAGCAACAACTCAGGGGGAGGGGGAAATACGTATAAGAGGCTGGATCCCTACTGAATGCACTTGTAGTGCAGAGTTAATACTATTAAAATGACATTACTTTAACTGCCATGGTTCCATCCTCCAAAATCCTGGGATTTGTCTTTGGTAAAGAAATCAGAATTCTTGGCTATTATTCAGGAAAGCACACTAGAGCACAATGGCACAGAATTCTACATATACTGCCCAGGATTTTGCAGGATAAAGCCATGGGCAGATAAAGTAATATCATATTACTGTCTCTGTGTAGTGTTAATCCAATTTTTGCCCACACAACAGAGAAAATTTGGAACCAGCTGCTGCTTCCACTCATGCCAAAGGAAAATCCAAAGGATTTTCACCAATCCCCTCTCCATTGTGCATACCACATCATGTGTTTGCCTACAGGAGTGGGTCCCAGCCCTGGGTCCCCAGATGATCTTGATTTCCAACTCCCAGGAATCCTGGCCAGCACTGCTAACGGTGAAGACTTCTGGGAATTTTAATCCAAAAACATCTGGGGACCTAAGGATGGGAACCATTGTTCTAAGGAGTCCCTTAACTCCCCCACTCCAGAGCAGAGTTCAAGTGGACACAAGGGCTCCACAAAAAGAAGGGAATCTTGCCAGAAATTGCCTCTCCTTCCTCTCTCATTAGTGAGCGTTACACGCCTTCTCTCCATTAGGATAATTTTGTTCTCAGGAATTTAAAATTCAACTCAAAATATACCACTTAAATTCAGAACAAATTTCAACAAGCATTTGATGGTGTATACTTCCTGTATGCCTCTTGCGAATGAAGTCCCATTGAATTCCCCAGGTCTTACTCACAGGTTACACAGGTATAGGATTACAGTCTAGAATACATTATCTCTACCCACCCCACAAAAAAAAACAACAAAAAACAAAACAAAACCCTTACATCACTGGCAATATCTCGGGAAGCTTTCGCCGCTTGAATAGGGATGGCATCAGCCCTGATATCACACCCCTTCTTCTTGTCTTCCTCCATGGAAAGTTTGTACATGTTCTGTGTATTGAAAGAAGGCAGGGGATGGATTGAATAAACAATAATAATGAAATGAAAAATAAAAATAAGGAACGCTTTACTTTTTGCGATTTAAAACATTTACAATGTGTCTGGCAGTGACCATTTATTAAACATTAGCTCCACACAAACAAAAACAGTGCTCTAAAACAACTTTCCCCTTCACACATTACACACATACATGCTCAAGTGCCTCTAGCTTTGTGAACCTCTAACACATCACAATGGACTGTGGCTAGATTCCTATATTCTCCCCTTTGCTGTGGTAATTACTTTAGGGGAGATATTTTGATGCTGTTGTTGTCCACCTCAGAACTGAATACAGTGGTGCCCCGCATGATGACGATAATCCGTTCCGTTAAAATCACTGTACAGCGAAATCGTCATCATGCGAAAAAAAACCCATTGGAATGCATTGAAAACTGGTCAATGCGTTCCAATGGGGAAATACCTCATCGGCCAGCGAAGATCGCCCATAGAGAACCGCCGATCAGCTGTTTAAAATCGCTGTCTTCCAAGGCTTCTGTCCGGAAAACAGCCATTTTGTGAAGGGAGGGAAGCCATTTTGCAAAGGGAAGCCATTTTGCGGAGCCAGAAAAATCATCATTTTGCAAACAAACGGTTCACGAAGCTAGGACCTAATCAATGTAAAGCGGATTTCTCCCATAGGAACCATCATTTTGCGATCGCAATAGTGATCACAAAAAAGTCATCATCAAGCGATTTCGTTGTTTACTGGGGTAAGTGTCTAGCGGGGCACCACTGTATTTGCATTTGATCCCAATATTTTTGTATACTTCTGTATATTTATATATTTTGATGTTTTATTTGTGGCTGGTCTTTGACCGTAATAAAGTTTTACCTATTTATCTATTCTTTGTTGTAGAATTCCTTCCAAGACAAGGATCCAAACTAAATTTGGGCAATCAGATAAGTTTGATAATCATCATATGCCATCAAGTTAATTCAAACATATGGTGCCCCTTTTTAGGGTCTTCTAGGCAGAGAGCACTCAGGAGTGGTTTCCAGTTCCCTTCTAAGGTGCCCTGGGACTGTGCAGCTTGCCTGAGGCCACACAGGCTGGTTCTACTTGCAGGAGGCACAGTGGGGGGAATCAAACTCCCAACCTCTGGCTCTGCAGCCAGAGACCTAAATCACTGAGCTATTGCGATGAGCTGTGCTCTAAATGAGACTTTTGCCTACCCATGCAGCCATTTTAGTCTTCTGCTAGTATGAGCCAACAACTGAATACTCAGAAAGAGGATAATGCTAGTCTCTGATCCCACACCTAGCTTTTCCATGTATGCCAAGGGATATTAGCACTGGCCTGCATCCTAAATTCAACAGCTGATTCCTACCTCAATTCTGTTTAGGTTTTTAAAAATCAGTCACAGGCAGTTCTTGCTCAATTGTTAGATACAAGGACTGGTGTTTCTTATTAAATTAACCCTAACAATAAGAATAAAGCCCTGGCCCCTTAAACTTACATTGCTGATGTTATATGCATTGACTCTTGCCAAAAGGATCTCAGGAATATCTGGTGTGATGTGGATCTTGGTCTTCTCTGCTTCCCAGTCCTTTTTGTAAAGGTGCTGAAAGGATATAAGAAAAGCTTCTTTCAACATCTGCCAGAAAGCGATCACTTACAACAAATGTTACTATTCCTTTATATATATTTTTCTTCTTTAAGGATTGAATTAAGCAGGTGTGAATGCCCAGTTCCACTATGTGCCTTTGAAAATATTGCCACAAAATTAATTTCTAGAGAATGTTTATCTACAATGATATATGTCTGGATATTTCTGGCTATGATTTTCCCCAGGCAAAATATTCATCTCAGAAGGAAAAGCTTTTCACTTACTGCATAACAAGAGAAGTAAGTTCATACTGCTATAAAATAAGAATAAGAATGCAATGAACAATAAATAACAAACCTCATCATTAAACCTACACTGTGACTTTTTTAAAAAATGATTATTTTTTCTGCTTTATTTGGTTAACTATTAGATCTGCAGAAACTATTTTTTAAAATGTGAAGCATGATGCCTCTTTATTGTATTTAGATCATATGCACCTGTTTTATAGCAGGCATCATTTTAGAAGAAACGTTCCTTCCTAAATAATAATAATTAAATGCCATCAAGTTCATTCTGAATGTTGGCAACCTTTTCCAGGGTTTTCTAGATGCAGAACATTCAGAAGTGGTTTACCATTCCCTCCTTCTGAGGATGCTCTGGAACAATGCAGCTTGCCCAAAGCTACACAAGCTGGCTCTAGGTGTTAAAATGGGGATGCTGCATTTAAGCTGAAAATTGCATTCTGCCATAAGTACTTGTGTATTGATTGATTGATTGATTGATTGATTGATTGATTGATTGATTGATTGATTGATTGATTGATTGATTGATTGATGCCTACCTCATCCATAATTTTTGCATTGTTTGTAGCCAGGACCATGGGCATGGAATCCATCAGAATAGAATACTTCAGTTTGTCTGGATGCTGCCTGTACTTCTTCTCACTGACAATATCCATGGCTTTTTTATTCTTTTCAGCTTCTAGAGATCCTAATGGAACCCATCCAACCCCTTTCATGAATTCATCATAGTCTGCTTTGTACTGATTCTGGAGACAGGAGTGAAATGAAACAAAAACAGATGGGAACACAGTTAGGTAAGCTTCTTTTTATCTCAACTTGACAGCGCTTTTTGGCAAAATCTGCATACCTCACCAGATCAGAGCAAAATAAAATAACAGAAGGTAATCTGATACCTTGTATAATATTTGTAATGATCAGCTGTATTTTCTGGTGTAGCAACAGGACCTTCAGCCTACTTTCTTTGTAAACATTTCAAAAATGCGTATTAATCTTATGTTATATTGTTATTTTTAATTATAATTGTCAAAACATGTTTGCAGCTTTCATATGAGACTTCAACTCCGTGGACACTTATTGGAAAAACAGTGCTATTTCTCACCATTCTGTTTACAGTAAACTTTGTTATGTCTCACAGAGTGTTCCAGGTACTCCCACAACGGAGATTCACTGATGGTAGCCCTGAGTGTTTGTCACTGTATTGAAATGAAAATGTTCATAACCTGAGTCATAGACCCAGATGTCAATTTGTTGGAGGAAAAAAATGATGTTTTTGTAGTAAACCTTGTGTGTCATTCAACCTTTTGTTCTCTGGCTAGTAAACTAGCCAATATACCTGCCAAAGACATTCCTTCCTACCATTTTTTTTACAGCCTCACGCTCTTTGCTTTGGTAACCATAAGAATAAATGCAGGAGTCTGCAATGGCCTTACCCTGTAATTCAATTTTAAAAATAAATAAATAAAATAGCATTTTACTTACATCACTTTGAATCTGCATCATGTTTTTGGCCAGTTCAAGATTCATAGCATCAGGCAAAACATTGTAAGTGTGGATAATATTCCGGTAGTTTATGTCAGTCACAATTTCCTGCGCTTTCTTGGCGGCCACTACACTGAACATGTCAACTGGGGTGTGAAACCGGGTCTTCGACGTCTCGTAGGCCTTTTTATATTCACGATCCGATTGCATCTTGGCCACTTGCATGAAGTGTACCAGTTTAGGGTCATCTTCCAGGCTGCGAAATCCAATGTGCTTTCCTCTAGATTGCTCAAAGGCCAGTTTGTATTTGAACTGAAAGCCAAAGAAAGGGGAGGAGGGGACACAAGGCATGAAACTCAATGAAGAACACTGCATTACTGACTGTGACTAACTTAAAATTTCATACTGTGTGAGTTCTGTAACATTTTCCTGTTAGATGATCCTTTTAAAGATTTATTTTAAATAGAAAGGCTGAGAATTAATATGTTACATAAGGGGTTCAGAACACAGACCTAAACCCAACTGTCAATCCCAACAAACACAGACCCATAGAATCAGTGGGAACATAAAAAATGAACACTTGCACGGGTTCCATTGATTCAATCAATTTACTCCAACAATTTGCTATAGGCCAAAAAACATGTATTTATCTCTTTGGCTTGCCGCACACAATTTAGGACAACCCATCAACACTAAATACATGTGCACACTTCAGCAGTAATCTAGTACAGATGAGGTACCTTGAAATCCTTTGAAATAGTGCCCTTAAGAGCTCTTAATTCATACATTGGATCAGGGCCATAAGATTTGGAGGCCCTGAAGTAGATGCAATCTGTCTCCTCATTTGTACCCTCTCATTCATCTGTCATGAATTACAATACAAAGAAGTACTAGCCTGTTGCATGACTGTGTCTAAGTAGGTATTAGTTGGATTTACAAAAAGTATGCAGTCCAAAGGGAACTCATGAAAGAAACAGTATAATAGGATCCATTCCATAGATTTAATGTAGGTGTATGTCCAATGATGTCCCTGTGTCAGTGCACGACCTGTTACAGTAGTGGCCACCCATTTTCAGAATTAGGACAAGGTTGACATCCAACATAATTTTTCAGGAGTGGTTGTACAAATGATTGCACAGTCACTTGTGCACTGGCATACACAGTGATATGTGCCATTGAAATATAGCAGTATATTTTCAATCCATGAACATTTGGTTGGACTTAATCCTCTACGTGTCACTCGAAGAATGCAAGATATTGAAACAGGTAATTGGAAATGGCAGACTAAGGAGAAGCCTAATGATAGTGATGGAGAAATTAAACATACATCACTGGCAATGTCCCTGGATGCTTTAGCTGCTTTTATTGGGATCGCATCGGACCTCAGATCATAACCTTTCTTCTTATCTTCTTCCCAGCCAGCCTTGTACAGTTTCTGTTCCAAAATAAAACAGAGTGCCAAGGTGGTTAAATGTCAAAGACAGAACACAGAGCAAATGATAATTGTACTTTCAAAATTTAGTGTCACAATATTCAGAGGATGGAACCCATGTCCAATGCTCTTTGCTGCTCAAGTCCTTACATTGCTCATGGTGATTTGGTTGGCTCTAGACAAGAGAATTTCTGGAGTGTCAGGCATCACATGGATATCAGTCTTTTCTTTGTTCCATTTCTCAACATAAAGTCTCTGCAGTTAAAAAGAAGAAGTTTAGCTGCAAAGATATCATTTTTACTTTGCCTATTATTTAGCAAACCTGGTTTGTTTATTTACATGTATTGTACCATCCACCCAAGTGGCCCTTTACGTATCTGTCCCCATCTCCAAGAAAATGATAGATTAGACATCATCACCCTTTTGCATAAACTGCTATACAAAACAACACTAAACCTTTGTTTCCCCATTACACTTTCTTACTAAACTGAACAATATTGTTCCCCTTTTTAGTTACTAATAATGCAACATTATTTTTAATTCCTAAGCTGGACCTAAGTCTATCTTCATCACTTGATTTTATGTGGTGCCAAAGACAATGGAATAAGAAAATAAGCACTGTTCGGAAGTGGGATGCAGGTGTCACTCTCATGGATCTAATCCCTGCAGTCATCCACACACATTGACTCCCACTTTTTCTGTCCAGCAAGGAGATGGTACTGTTAAAAACTCATCAGTCAGCCAGCTACAATGTACCACAAACCATTCGGATGACATTTTTCTCAAGTGGATCTTTCAGACAAGAGGAAATGGCAAGAATCCTGTTGGTGTTCATGTGGGGTTTGTGTAAATTGCTACAGATAATTGTGGCTAATTGAAGTGGTACCAGGGCATGTCTTGATGAGATGGCCAGTCATAGCCAGTGATTGAGCAGCTGAGATGCATCCCAGCACCTTGTCAATTAGACGCAATTAGCTATGATATGATTATGATATGAACACCGATAAAATTCTATATCATGTATGAAATTTGTACCCTTCCTAGTATTCACTGTGTATTCAAGAGGCTCAAGGTCATGCACATGGGTCTTTTTATACTCACAGCAATTTTATGAGGTAGCTTTAGAGACATGTAAAAATAAGGTTGCTACAGGATTCAACCAAAGGTCTATTCTCTTTTTCACACAGCCCAATTAGACAGGAAAGGCAAGAGTCAGGAGCTAGAGACAGACAACCAAAGGTCTATTCCCTTTTTCACACAGCCCAGTTAGACAGCCTTGGAAAGGCAAGAGTCAGGAGCTAGAGACAGTAAAACTTTCACCACACCTCTACTGCACAGCTTATTCTTTCTGTCATAGCTAACAGACATCACTAGAATTTTCTTACTCCATTAAAAAAATCTTATGAGCTAATGCTGCTTATCGTCCCTTTTTTGAGACTGTGAATTCCATAAGTATGCACTGCTCAGAGAAATACTTTTACATTTGTTCCATTGTCCATTTCACTTGGCATTTACTAAGCTTCAATCACTTTGAACTGAAGCTAGGGGACAGATCTTTGTCTATACATTTTGACTGTGAAATCTGAATAAAAGCATTCATTTTAAAAATTAACAATCCTTTCATAAGATGTTGTTATTTTTACCTTATTCATGGTATGTGCATTTTGCTTGGCAAGCACCTGCTCCATGGCATCCATGTCAATGGTATATTTCAGTTTGTCAGGGTGCTGACGATATTTCTTTTCATTAAGAATGTCAGTAGCCTTCTTGGCCTTCTCCACCTCAAGAGACTGAATTGGCACCCACCCAATTCCTCTCAGCCAGCTGTTGAAATCAGCTTTGTAAAGATTCTTGAAAGAAAGAAAGAAAGAAAGAAAGAAAGAAAGAAAGAAAGAAAGAAAGAAAGAACAAAACAAAATGTAAATCAAATCAGTTTTAGACTTTACAACATCCCAAAGCTATAATTTCCTTCAAGCATCATAATCTGGGCTAAAACAAGGAAGGCAGTAACTAAACCCATGCACAATCATTTACACATTCTGCCCTTCTGAAATGGAAGATAAGATTGTGTCCTGTCTCATCAAATATTCTGTCACAACTAATGCACCATCAATACTGACTGTGTTTTTAAGGAGCAAATTACACATTAATACAAGATTAATATTTTGAAGCTTATTATTCTGGGGTGTTTTTTTTGTTGTTGTTGTTGTTTTACAAATTACACATTAATACAAGATTAACATTTTGAAGCTTATTATTCTGGGGTTTTTTGTTGTTGTTGTTTTGAGAAACATTGTTTGGCCAGCAACACCCCCTCCATTGTTCACAGAAGCCATGTTAAAGCTGTGGATTTCAGTGGGGTGGAACCAGTAATAACTTCCCATAGAGATAAAGAGAGCTTTCATCAAGAGGTTTTTAATGCAGTGGAGGTCTCCTGCTGGCTAGAAAGAGGAGGACACCATCTAGGCCGATACCCATTTCCACTGAAATCTCCTGTGTTCTCCCAAAATCTTCTCCAGAAGGTTTGTGAAACTCAGTGATGGAGAATGCCCTGAATAAAACTCCCTCGGGTGAAACTTTTACGGGTACAAAAGAAGTGGCTATAAACCCCAATATTAGTGGCGACTGTGAACAACTAGTGAAATGGAAGAAAAGTCAATCACACCCTTCCATTTAGAAACACAGGGATGGGAGACCATCCCTTCAGTTCCATCCTTTATTGACACTCACTAAATGTTCATGTAAAATACATGAAAAACATATTTGTAAAAGGATAGGGATAGTCAGCATGAAACTGATTTATGTCAAGCTTGTTAAGATGAAATGAAGCATGACAGAAACACTGACAGGCTGAAAGGGACAGAGATCTGATCCAGCATTCTTCCTTGATCCTCCCCAAGTCCTTAATCAGCTTCTGGGTCAGAAAAGAGTAGCATGTGGCTTTCTAGATATCGTTAGATGGCAACTCCTATCATCCCTCACCATTGACAGTACTAGCTAGGGCGGATGAGAGTTGCAGTCCAACAGCATCTGCAGTCCAACACTTCTCCCACTCTGGCTCTGCCCTATAGAGTCTACAATCTGAGGCAAAAGAGAAGCAGCGTCTTCAGAAAACATACATCACTCTGAATCTGCATCCTGTTTCTTGACAATTCCACACTCATGGCGTCAGGTAAAAGGGTGTAGTTATGCAAATGCTGTCTGTAGTTTGTGTCAGTGACCACTTCCTGGGCTTTCTTGGCGGCCGTCACACTAAACATGTCCAGAGGGACGTGATACTTGGTCTTGCTACTTTCATAAGCCTTCTTATATTCCCGGTCTGACTGTAGTTTGGCCACATTCATGTAATGGACCAGCTTAGGGTCATCTTGCAGGCTACGGAATCCAACTTGTTTTCCTTTATCTTTCTCATAGGATTCTTTGTACTTGTACTAGAGGAAGCAAATTGAAATAAAGACACGTAGTCATGTTAAAAGGGGCAGGAATATAGAGAGATGATTAACAGTACACTGGACAAACAATACATCAGCATTCTCAACTAGATGTATTTGTGTTTCCAGCCACGCTGGCTGAGGATGGAAGGAAGCACTTTAAGACATTTCCAGTAGAAAAATCTCAGGCAGCAGGGTTTGGAGAACTGACAACTAACGGGCTATAGCCTTATATCAGACAGGTGTTGACTCAAGAGTCCAACTATATACCACAGACCATCCTGTCGCTGAGGAGGAAATTCCCTTAGAGGAAATTCATTAAGACCTCATTGTGTGTGGTTGTTGCAACAGGTGCTTTTCTCGCCTCCCCCAAATTGCAAATTAGCTCGCTTTGTGTTGTGGTTTATCTTCAACCCATAAGCATGTTCTTCTTTTCTATATCTACTTTCTCAGACATAAAGAAGACTGTCCCAGTCTCATGACAGCTTATTTCTAAGGTAGAGTTTGGTTCTCAGTAGAAGGCTACTGCCCATTTCAAGAGCACCTAAGAGTTTATATCCAGATTCCACTTACATCACTGGCAATGTTTCGTGAAGCTCTTGCAGCGATTATAGGAATGGCATCTGGCTTCAGATCATACCCCTTGGCGATCAGTTTCTTCCAGTCTGCTTTGTATGCATGCTTAAAGAGAAGAAACATTGCATTTCTTACAATCAAAAAGTTTTATACAGTTTCATAAAGAGGAGTCTCATGTTATGGTGGTTAAATTGCAATACTGCAGCCAAAACTCCATTCACAATCCCAGGTAGTTCGCTCAAGGTTCACTCAGCCTTGCATCCTTCCAAGGATGGAAAGCTGAGTACCCAGCTTGCTGGGGGGGACAAGGTGCAGCCTGCATAATTAAATTGTAAACCATTCATAGAGTTGTTAAAGCCCTATAGGGCAGTATTTAAGCAGCATGCTTTGCTTTTTTTTCTGCAGCCAAAACTCCATTGACAATCCCAGGTAGTTCGCTCAAGGTTCACTCAGCCTTGCATCCTTCCAAGGATGGAAAGCTGAGTACCCAGCTTGCTGGGGGGGACAAGGTGCAGCCTGCATAATTAAATTGTAAACCATTCATAGAGTTGTTAAAGCCCTATAGGGCAGTATTTAAGCAGCATGCTTTGCTTTTTTTTAAAGGAATGGTCTTTCAGGTTCAACCCTCTGCTGAATGCATGATCTGCAATGCAGAATGCAACTACTATGGCATCCTTTACAGACAGAGAATCTGTATTCAGATATCTAATAAGAAGACACAACCATCATCAAAATGATTGTTTATATTGTAATAGCTTATCAAAGGTATACTATTACTTTATTATATTGATCAGCATCTACTTCAGCCTCTTCCATCATTATGGACAACCCACAAAATTTAATACTGGGAACCACAGCTATCAATTTTAAAAAAAATGGGCAGCTTCAGTGTAAATTAATATTCATAATTACAACACAGGAAAAATGCCCTTGTACTGTATCGAATTCCAAGTAAAATATTTAGAGAAAAAATGAAAATGGTAACTGTGAGGGTAATAAAACAAAGTGAATGAATTCAGAATTTTAAAAGTAGCTTGGTAATGGTTTATAAAGAAAGAAATAGTCAAATAAATTTTTTAATGATTTAAATTTAAAAAAACTTTTAAAAATGAAGACATTGTCAAATACTCACATCACTTAGATTGTAGGCATTAACTCTTGCTTGAATGAATTGAGGAACATCTGGATCCAAGTGATATTTGTGTTTAATTTTCTCTCCTGCTACCTTATAATTCATCTAAAGGGGAAATGATACATATATTATCATTCAATATGTGCAAGGTACCTCTTTTTCAGGTAATCAGTGTTTGTTTACCCAGTGGAGGAGAAAGAGAGAGATGGCAATGAGGACAGATGAAAACAATCTAGTTTAGCAACTTTATTTAATAAGTGTGTTCGATTTATTTGCTTTGTGTGTGATTGTGGCGCTTGGCCATTGAGCTTGGAAGGGAGAAAAGGAAATATAGCTTCTCTCAAAAAAGCTGCAAAGCCCCAAAAGAAGGGGCTTCTTGAGTGGGGCTACGCATCCATTTCTTAAGACTGTTGAGCTAACAATGGAGGGCAGAAAATCCAGCCAAAGATTCTGCAGGCTCAGACTAGCAATTCTGAATGGATTATATGAAATAACCTGTAAGATTTAGCAGTTGGAAACAAGCTAAAATGTACTAATAGTTAGGCTCTGCAACATTTCCTGTTTACTGCTGGGACTTGGCAACACAAACTTACATCACTCAGTTGTTGAGTGTTCTTCTGTGCCAAAACCATTGGCATCGAGTCTGCCAAACTGGTGAACTTGAGCGTGTCTGGGTGTTGTCGATATTTCTTTTCATTCAGTGCGTCTCCAGCCTTTCTAACTGTCTCTACATCCAGTGAGCCCAGAGGACTCCATCCGATGCCTTTGAACCAGGTGTTGTAGTCTTGCTTGTAAAGATTCTGAAGAGGAAACCAAGGAGGAATTAAAAGAGAGAGGTTCAGGTACTCTCTACCTAGAAATCCCTGAAAAGGGTCACCATAAGTCAGAATTGACTTGATGGCACATGATGATGATTAATAATAATAATACCGTCCAACACTGAAATACTAAAATGACATTTTGTACAGTATATGCATTCTGGGCAAAACTCTAACTCAAAACACAGCTCAATTTCTAGACTCTTTCTGAAAGAGGAAGGGAAAATGAAAAATGAATTGTAATTAATTAGACAAATACGTCACGAGGAAATATAAAGATTCAAATATTTAGGATTTACCTCCCCTGTTTGTTGGCTTAAACCTACCCTTTTTGCAGTGTATTTAGATCAAGGAGGGAAACTCTGATGTCTCTAAGAGCCCATTTGGCCATCACAGTAATGTCTGCAGCTTCTACCCCTGCCAGTGCCCAAACTGGCTGGCAAATAATGCTGCCAAAATCCGATGTCAGATCACGGGTGGGGGGGATATAAAGCAAGCCTTTCCCCTGTTTGCTGCCCAATTTGGGGTACAAATGACAAAGCCATGTAAACTGAGTGAGATGCTTTCTTTAAATGGGCTTGTTTTTCCTTTTGTCGTTGCATTTAAAAGGTCTGGTGTGCTGTCAAACTGCCATCTAGCACCCCAATTCTATCCCATGAGAGACTGGAGAAGCCTTTGATGCTCTTCCTCCTCATTGGTTGCCACGACCTTTTATCCACAGAACTCCAATTCAGAAATTGTACACATGGGGAGAGGAGATAAAATTGCCCCGGGAACAGAAAGGAGACCAGGAATGATCCTGTCAACATGCCTATTTTTTCCTTTTGCACATGACTAAGACATTTTAATAGGGAGGACAAACATTCACCACTTCGTGCCCTCTTGGTGTTTTTGGCCACTTCTACTACCAGAATCTGTAACCGTCTGTCATGGTGTCAGGGGTTCATGGGATCTGGAGTCAAAAACAATTTGGAGGATACCACCAGCTTGGTGTAGTTCATTCAAGGAACTGAATACATAAATCTTTTGAGTTTTGAAAGGTCTGTTAAAAATCATGGATCAATATAACCCTAGAGATAAGTTGTAAAGAAAAATAAGACTTGTACATTTCTTCCAACATCAGTGAGAGGTGGGAAAGATTTCCTTGCTGGCTGCAGAATTAAGGAAGCTATAGTTAGAAAATAAAAATATACCCCATATCTGGTATAAGCTAGACTACATGGATGGCTTATGTACTGGAACTGAGGGGCATTCACCCCAGAACTTTAGGGGGTATTCCCCTGCACTGGCCACAACCTTTCTTCTGGAAAATGTGCTATTCTCAATAGCAGCAGCAACAACAATTTTGAACAATATTCTACTATGAATCCTTACCTCACTCTGGATTTGATTCATGTTCCTTGCCAGCTCGACACTCATGGCATCTGGCAAGTAGGTATAGTGATGGATCAGATGTTTGTAGTGAGCATTAGAAGCTACATCCTGAGCCTGCTTTGCAGCTTGGATACTGACCATCTCCACTGGCGTGTGATAACAAGTCTTACTTTTCTCGTAGTCCTTCTTGTACTCCCGTTCAGACTGCATCTTTGCCACATTCATAGAATGGACAAGCTTAGGATCATCTTGCAGGCTTCTGAAACCAACATGCTTTCCTCTTGACTTCTCATATGCTTCTTTGTATTTATACTAGAGTTCCAGTGGGAGAGAGAGAGAGAGTAATGGTGTGTGTCTATCCAGGTGTAAAGTATACATTCCTATTTTTATACTTGTAACAAAGGGTGGTTCTCCTGCATCAAGCATTGAGAACCTCATCATAAGACCCATTTCAAGATGGAGCCCTCAGGTGACAGGTGGGAGACCCGTGGCCCACCAGATATTGAATTACATTTGCCAAGATACAATTCCTGGCAGCCATGAGAATTTATAATATAATCTGGAAAACCACATCATTGCTACTACAGGCCTGTGTGCAAGACTGCATACGGGAGGACCAAACTGGCTATTTGGGGAGGTTAGGGATATGTGGGGTGGAATATTTCAAAAGCTACTATCTATATGGGTTTACAGCCTTCTCCATATTCTGTTCAGCATCTTCCACCTTTTGTACAATCAATCGCTTATTGGGTTTTCTCAGTCAAAGCAACGACAAATACAACTGTGTGAACAGAGTGTGGGGAAGAGGGGGGAGTTAGGGACAGCAGCCATGCACCCACCCAGTCATGGCTAGCAACATTGTGGGGCACATGTAATAAAGGATGTCTCATCAAGATGTAATGATCCATCTAGCCGGAGAACTTCTAAAGTTAAGAATGCAGTCATCCATTGTGTAAGAGGATGTAGGATTTGAAGAATTCACATAGGATGTCAAAATTTCCACAGCAAACTTTTGATAACACGCAAAACTGAGGAGATATGAGTACTCACATCACTAGCGATGTTTCTTGAAGCCTTGGCAAGAGTAATTGGAATGGCATCACCCAGTACATTGTTCCCCTTGGCTATTAGTTCATGATAGTCTTGTTTATAGTAAGCCTGGGGAAAAAGAAAGATTGACATACAAAAAATCATTTAAGGCAGTATGACAAAATCCAGCAGTGCACATAATGACAGTTACATGATTTTCTGGACACAGTCAGAGGAAAGAATAAAAAGTCTTTGGGGCCACAGTCTTACATGGGTTTCCTAGGGAGTAGGTTCCACTTGAAATTAATGAGACTTTCTTCTAAGTAATTATAGGAATGATCCATCAATTTGTAACACAAAATGAGAAAAAAAGAAAAAAGAGTGATTTTTTTTTCATTCCCACAACTACGGAAGAGAAAGAGTTCCATCTCAATATCATAACTTTCCATCCTGCTTGTTCACTTGTAAAGAATTCCATGCACGCCAACGATCATCGGTCAGTGATAATGGGAAGGGTGAAGCCCCCCCCCTGAAGTGACATTCAATGTCCAATGTCTCCTGCTGCCCCCGTTGTTCCGGAGATTCATCCTCTTACCCTAGGCACTAGAATTGGCCTCAGTCCACAAGGCATGATACTCCCCTAAATCAGAATACTATTCCTACATTACAATGCCCATGGGGTTTTTATAAGACAAGGATGAATATTTGATAATCTATTTCTGCATTTATTTAGCTAAGTCCGAATCAACCACAATTTTTGCAGAGCTACTTACATCACTGACGTTTGCTGCATTGTATCTAGCCTGGATAAACTGAGGAGCGTCTGCAGTCAAGTGATACGTGTGCTTCATTTCTTCTCCAGAAGATTTGTAGAGCCTCTGTAAAGCCAAGGAAGAAGGCAGTACTGTAATCAACTTCTCTATTCCCAAATAGATTCCAGAATTGAATATTTTATGCTGGCTAGAATATTTTAGACTGTGCAAGTCACGTTTGCTCACTTAGGGAGGGAGTCTCAACCATGCTACTTTCAAAGAAACGGTCAAATCTACAAATATGTTTTGCTCTTGAAAAATTAAACCATGAATTTTGCACTGGAGAAGAGTATTCAAAATAGATTCAAAAGTATATTTTGGACTGAATCATAAACATATCTTAAATAAAGACATACATATAAAAAAGAAGTGAACAAACAGTGTGTAGAAGAATCTAATGGAAATACAGTATAATTTTTACTGCTTGGAATGAAGCAAGGACCTTATTAAATCACCAAGAAACATCTGTAGAAAAGAGATGGGGGGAAATCTTAGAGATGATAATGCCGACTCTTATTCAAATACTTTGTATTCAATGTTGCAAAAATAAATATATACAGAATGCTTGTGTCTCCTGAAATCCCATGAATTTTTCACCTAAGAATGCAGCTGGTCTTACTTTGGGCGAGACTTGGAAGTTATTTGTATAGAATAGTGCTGTTATTAGTACGAAAAGTGCTGTTTCCATTCACATGAATAATATGAACTGTTTATAGAGTGCCAGCAGCACATTTTGTAAGCACGTGTAAATCAGTTTTGTTTTTGTCCACGTGAAGTGCTGAACAGAGGATCCCTGAGAAATAGGAGTGGGTGTGAATGAGTGAGGCCACCAAATCTTTACCATGACACAAGAATTTGATATCAGACAGAATGTCTGAAGAGCCTCCTTTCCTATGAGTTCCCACCCATTTCTTAGGATGGTCTGAAACTTTGTTTACAAGTATCCACACATACTAAGATCTGGTACTGAAACCATCCAGTAGTGGCCCCTAATTGTGGAATTCCCACTCCAAAAATGTAACCCACGTTACTGGTTTTTCAGCATGCATATTCTCAAGCTTTCAAACCTGTTTTACTGCCCTGTCCCAAGAAATTATGGATAAACTACCCTTCCCCCAATGTAGATGCTTAGGGATTTGAAAACATGTCCCATTTTTATCATAGATATGAATCAGAAATGTTCCCTCAAGGTTACTCACATCACTGAGTTGAAGCGCATTCTGCTTAGCCTGGACCATGACAGGTGAGTCTACCACGCTGGTAAATTTTATAGTGTCTGGAGGCTGGCGATACTTCTTCTCATTCAACGCATCGCCTGCTTTTTTAGCTTTCTCTACATCCAGTGAGCCAATTGGAATCCATCCAATACCTTTCATCCAGCTATTATAGTCTGCCTTATAAAGATTCTGGACAATAAAAGAGAGAGAAGAAGGGTGGGGGGAAATCAGTAACCACGCGAACAGATAATGCTTTCAAACAGTAATACTTATATTGGTCATAAAGATACACTTACATCACTCTGAATCTCCATCATGTTTTTCGACCGCTCCACACTGATAGCATCCGGCAACAAAGTGTAACGGTGTAACAAATGCTTGTAGTGGGTATCGCTGACAATTTCCTGGGCCTTCTTGGCAGCAACAACATTGACCATGTCCAGTGGAGTGTTGTATTTGGTCTTCCCATGCTCGTAAGCTTTCTTGTACTCCCGATCGGACTGCATCTTGGCAACATTCATGTAATGGACCAACTTGGGGTCATCTTGGAGGCTCTGAAAGCCAACCAACTTCCCCTTTGCAAGTTCATAATCTTTTTTATACTGGAACTGTCCGAACAAAATTGAAAGTATCACTGACAGTCATTGCTATTATAATCCAAACTGAGAAAGTTACACCTAAATGGCCCCATTAAATGTGAAAAGACAGTTGTGTCTAAGTCCCATTTTATAACAAAAAAACAAAAACAAAACAAAAAAAGGATTTTGAGGCACTTTACAGGTTTATTTCAGTGCAACCTTCCATGGATAAACTTGATGCACCAAAATCCTGTTGGCAGTGTGGAGCCTAAGAACGAAGTGCCAGGCCACTCTACATTTGCTCTCGTTGTCTATCTCTGACTTGCAATTACACAAGCTGGATATCACCCTTTTGAAAACTTTTTTTTTTTTTGCTTTTGCTTTTGCAAGGGTTGAGTGGATTACCCTTATATGAGCAGAGAGGAAAGAGGTGTTATTAACCTGGATCCAACCCACTGTGTTCTAAAAAATATAAATCTGCCAGAATTTTTGCAAACAATGTTAGCTAAGTAATCCACACAGTCGGCGACCAAAAGAAAGGCAATATGCATGATGCAAATGAGAGAAACAATAAGCAAAATATAAGCTACATTAATTTCATTTCTATCCTGCTTCCCCCCCCCTTGGAGTCCCAGGGAGTATGCAAAGGCACCCTCCCTTCTAGGGACTAACCTGAACTACCCATTTGCTTAAACATCAGCAAGGCTGGTGCATCAAGTACTTTCTGTCTGGACTCCAGAATGGCAAATTAATGAAGAGAACATAGTATAAGATAAAATGGTATGATAAACCCTTGAAAGGGAAGAGTTTATAAACAATGGGCAAAGATGGCAACTTTGGCGGTCCGGTGATTTAAACCAAAAAGTTAGTAATGGGCTTAATAAGTTTTCAAAGTCTCATTTGACTTGAAAGTTAGTAATGGGCTTAATTAATAAGTTTTCAAAGTCTCATTTGACTTCCTCTCAAATTATAAATGGGTGGTATTGGTTACCAATGTGGGTGTTCTTTGGAAAGGTGAGGTTATCAGCTTGTTAAATAAAGAAATTCACTAAAATCAGATCATAAAGCCTGCACTGATTTCAGTAGCTGGACCTAGAACCCAACCCTGGCTGTTCTTCAAAGATCACCATAAATTCTGGTCACATATCCAGCTTGGTGAGTATTGCTCATCAGAAATATCTGTTTGAAAAAGGAATACTTACGTCACTAGCCGCATTTCTGGCAGCCTTGGCAGCTTTGATGGGAATAGCATCACTTCTTAGGTCATATCCCTTTGATTTCAGCTCTTCCAGACCAAGTTTGTAATAATTCTGGAAGACAATAAAATGTTTCATTGTACTGCTTTGTTGCTATTCACGTATCTTTAAAATTATATGGTACATTAAAAAATGCACTGAAAGCAAACCTACATCACTAATATTGTAGGAATTCACTTTTGCCTGGATAAACTGAGGTGCATCTGCTGGGAGATGATATTTGTGAATTACGTCTTCATTTTTGGCTTTATAAAGTACCTAGAACAGAAATCAATGGGATGAAATTAAATATCATATTGAAGATAGCAACTATTTAGAATATTTAAAAGACCGCTGTGTCTTATTGCACATTTCTGTTCCAAATGCATGCATTTCCTAGCCCTCTGAGAAGAATATGCCTAGTTTAGGGCCCTCTGTTCCTCCCACATTCTGGTGCAGACTTACAGGTCACCTCTTCCCTGCCACCACTAGGATCCCCCAAATCTAATGATAAAACACTAGAGATATTCCCAATACCCTGTGATGCAATCATCCCTATTGATCATCCCTTAGCTTTCATGAGCTGCTGTGGCACAGCATGATAACTCAGAAACTTGTGACACCCCAGACTTAATGGTTACAAGCAGAGTGCTAATGCATCCTAGCTATCAGAGTATGTGGATGCAAACCACAGAGCTTTGTAGCATGGTTTGTCTGATGCGTTGTCCAGATACAGGAACACTTTTCTCTCTAGTTGGTTCTCTCTGCAAACCAGAGCAGGTTTCCTACTACAGTTTGTTGGAAGACAATTGAACTGGAGAGGAAACTGTGCATTAGTTGGGAGGATACCCACTGAACATCTCGCACAAGCCAGAGTGACTGGGCAGTGTGCAACAACATTTCTACAATCCTCTGGCTTGCCCTGTTCCAGATCTCCCCATACAATGTACACGTAACCTAATTATCACCTTAAAAACTCAAGGTGTAATCACAGAAATAGAAGAAGTTGCTTTATGCCCATTCAGGATTGCTGGTTCTTCTAGACAAGTACTGTCTGTTGACTCTTCAGAGTCATATCAAAGGTTAGGAGGAGTACTGTCTGTTGACTCTGATTAGCAATAAACTCTTCAGAGTCATATCAAAGGTTAGGAGGAGATTTGAAGACAGTGTAGACCTCCCCTCTGTTCAGTGAAGCAAATCCAGTGAATGCTGGAGGTGGAACCAGTGACCTTCCAGATCTAAAGATTTGCTCTCTGGCCTATGGGCTCTCCTCAACCTAATTATATTATAGGACAAGATAGGTGATGACAGCATTTTCTGAAACTAACATTTTTCTCTTACAGTCCTATCTTAACCTAGACCATCTAAGGTATAAGGACAAATGTATTTAGATTTTTTCTTCAGCAGAAATGATGCTGTTCAGAACTGTGCATTTAATCTTATATGGGTCATGCAATTTCTGTGCATGCAACTAACACTATACAAAACACTTGTGTTGTTTGCTGAGATATCTGTTGTCCAACTAGTTATACAATGGGTTGTGCAACCAGCCACACAATCAGTTGCACAACAGATGCTTCACCAAAGGGAGAAACCACTTCTGCAACATTAGGTGCCTGCATGAAAATTCCCAACAGGTATGTCCATGGTATGTTAGCTATACTATAATAATCTAAGTAACGTTATATATATTTAGTTTAGCTGCAAGCCTAAGTACAGATCAGGGAAACCACACATTTCAGTGTAAAAGAAAGAAAGCTTCATAGAGAAGGAAATAACATTAAGACTGAAGCATTGGTCTTCAGGTTCTTAATGGATGCATGACGTGGTAGCCCACAAACAAGCAAAAACTTGTTTTTAGCCCACAAACAAGCAAAAACATACAGTGCTAATACTTACATCACTTCTCTGGGCTTGGTTGATTTTAGCCTGTACTACAATGGGATCATCTTCAATTTGTGTAAACTTCAGTGTATCTGGATGCTGACGATATTTTTTCTGTTACAGATGAAGAAAAAGAAAGGAAAGTTAACTGCCTCATTGGAAGGGTAAAAGAAAGATTACAAAATAATAACTAGGACGTACATTTACTTGGATGAACACTTTTTTTGCAATGGATAAGAGGTGTTTACAATTTTTCAAAAAGTACCTAAATGCACAAGACATCAGCAGAATGTGTTTCCAAAGCAACAAAAAAGAAAGGAATGAGCAAGATGGCATAAGTGCAGAAGGAATCCGTCTCACTTCTTTTAAAAACCATTTTTCCAGGCTGGTAGGAAAAATCTAGGGGTGGTAACAGAGCGGGCCCTACCATTAGGCACTGTGAAGTGGCTAAATTAAGTGGCAGCTGCTTGGGCAGGTAGAGAGGAAGTCCATATAAATGTATCTCCTGAATCTCTTCTAAAGACTTTGTTGAGGACAAGACACAGTGTCCCACCCAGTCTGCTTGGCAAGGTACAGTGTTGAATGCTTTCCATGCTTAAATATCGCCAGCCCTGAGGTAAGAGTTGACCTTCCTTGACTTCTGAATATGAAATAGGCACAGCTACCTTCTTGTAAAGGCCTGCTTTATGCATGCAATTCCTATTTAGCTAAACAATATATTGCTTCCATGTGGTATAGCCTCCTAAACGAGGGTGTGTAAGCCTGGTTCTTTCGCAGGTTTACTTACCTCATTAAGAATATCTGAAGCTCTTTTATTTTTTTCTGCATCCAGGGATCCATAGGGTATCCAGCCACAACCTTTCATCCAGCTGTTGTAGTCAGCTTTATATTCATTCTGGAAAAGATCACAGAAAGGAGAAGTACAATCATTTAGCTTTTGAAGGCCAATCGTTTTCTTAACTTCTCATACAACAGTTCTGGCCAGCTGCCCTGTAATGAGAACAGGAACCTCTAAGAACCATCTTTCAAAGAAAACAATTGTATGGCTGCCTAGAATAAACATAGGATTGCAACATAATTATCACAAGTTTTCAAAATGAAATTCTGGAATGCTGAAACGATAACCTTAAAAATACAGAGTTGGAAGTGATTCTATGGATCCTCAAGTCCAGTCTCTCTCAGGGAGGCACAGTGGGGAATCTAACTTCTCCTCTGAAGATGCCGGCCACAGAGACTGGTGAAATGTCAGGAGGAACAACCTTCAGAACACGGCCAAAGAACCCGAAAAACCCACAACAACCATCGAACTCCTAACATTTGGCTCCACAGCCAGATACCTAAACCACCTATAGATGAAGGTTTAACGAAGGACTTATCCAGACAAGGCAAAGATTTCCAGGCCTCCACCGTAGAAGGACTGTCTTTGAAATTTGCTTGTTTCTGATAGAAATGTTTGTAACTTTATATAAAGTAGTAACTTGTGGAGCTGTGTTCCTTAGCCTTTTAAAAAAATCAACTCAAAGACCTAATCAGAGGTAAAAATGAAGCTCCCATTGATAGCACCTCAGTGATAATCTCTGATCCACTCCCAGTCCTTTTGGATGGAAACTGAAAAGCATGGGCAGGCAGGGACAAGACAATAATCCTTTCATGCCTTGTATGTTGTGGATAGCAAGATTAATATTAAAATCAACAGTGCAGAACCAGTCATTTAGGTGCAGATTTTGCCCAGGGTGAGTGAGTCCTGAATTAACACGACAAGAAATAGTTCAAATTCATTATAATCACTATTTGGGATTTTGAGAATTCACCAGGAAGGGTAATAAATGACAAGCACACATATCTTTATAATGGTCTCAGAAACTGATGGTTAAATCCCAGCCCCCAAATACATCCATCCAGTTCTATTAATAATAACAAAAGCACATGTATGTCATGCAAATGGAATAATATAATCCTTGGCTTCACAAACAAGCTGTACAAGCATATTCAACTTTTGAAACTTGAACAACTGCTTGCACTTCAAATCCACAGAAGAAGTTTTGCTTTTGTTTATTAAAAACTGTGCTTCAATGCTATTCAAGCATGACTCAGAAAGCTAGAAATCATACAAAGGAAATGTATGCTAAGATATGGGAGGAGGGAGCAATAGGAGGTTGCCTCTGTTATTCCTACAGATCATTCTTTGTTCAGCAACCTCTGAAACCAAGTTTTCAAGCGGTATTCAAGGTAATTTTCCATATGGATGCCGATGTTTTCAAGCAAAGTCATATGGTGTATATAGGACAGTGCTGGTGTACAGTGTTTCCACTGTATAATTCTCCCTACCCATCCCCAGTTCCCTTGCTTGCTGCTGAGGTAAAAAAAGAAAAGAAATAGGAAAACATTGCATCCTGACTGTCCTCACCTAAAGGAGGTTTTATATGGTCTGAGGCATGCAAAAGGAAAACTACTTACATCACTCTGTATAAGATTTGCCTTCTTGGCAAGCTCAAAATTAATACTATCAGGAGGGTAGCAGTAATTATGAATGAGACGCTTGTAGTCTGTATCACTGATGATCGCCTGCGCCTTCTTTGCTTGGACAACTGGAATCATGTCCAGGGGTGCTGTGTACCTGGTCTTGGACTCTTCATAACCTTTTTTGTATTCAAGCTGCAAAATAAGGCACGCACACAGTTCAGAGTGACGACCTCTTGAAATGCACACAACCGATTGGGCTGATCATTGCACGTCCACAATAAGTGGTATGTATACTGCTTTCTGGCAGGCACAGATTAGTAAAGGAGTTATTTCCAGAAAACCAGTCAGGCCAAACTCATAGCCCCTATGCCATTGCAAAGTTAGGCCAGGGTCAAGATGATTTCCAGCATCCATAAACTGAGAGGGGGTTGCATTTGGCAAAACCTCAACTAACTTGGTCAGTTCAGCTATCGTGCCTAGTGAGGACTGTGCCTAAAGTTGCCAAGAAGTGCAGCCTTGATAACTAGGGATGTGCATTTAGAAATATTCAAGATTAAACGAATAATGCCATATAAATACAGAGATATACATGCAGGAGCCCTGCAAGCCAAAAGAGACCACTCCCTTGTTTTACTGGGCTGAAAAGGAATCTGTTGGGGGAAGGCCTGGCCAAGGTGGCAATGGGAGAGCAGTCTTGCCCCAGCTAGTGTGCACGGCGAGAGAGGCAGCGTTCCCTCCTTCTACCTCTTTCATTAATCCAACTGCTACTCTAAGATTGTGCTCATTCACTCTCTTGTTCTGTGCCCCATGTTGCTGGCAAAGTTCCCACCCATCATAGGCTATCTACTACTCTAGTCAGTGCGGTCAAGAGTCTTTGCCCAATCTCCACTGCAACCGGCCCTCTGTTTTCCCAATGTTGCTGGCATTTCCACTGTTCCAGGTTCACTCTGTATGCCCATTGTAGTCATTTCCCAATACTTAAACACTGTTGGCTGTTGTTGTGCACTCTTTTTGTTTGGCACAATCAATGGGAACACAATCACTGGAAGTTGTCAGAGGATGCAGGGAAAATCTTTAAAAATATAGTGCCTTTTTGTTTTGTTTTTTAAGGGAGAACATAACAAGTATATAATATTCATATTGACTGTAACAGAGTTCTGAATGGAAGGAATTAATATGTATATCTCAACAGACTGACATTTATGAAGAATTCAGCACACAGGGAGCATCCCATAAGAATGAACCCTAGCACATATTTTACGAATACTTACATCACTCTGCTGTTTGGCCACTTTCCGAGAATGTAACATTTTGGGATCATCCTCAATGCTCAGCGCTCCAATTAGCTTCCCTTTGCTCTGTTCATAACCCTTCTTATACTCCACCTGCATGAGGAGAAGACATTAATAGTCTTCTGTATTCTGTAATGTCTGGATGGAAATCCAGATTAATCGAGATCTTCACTTCATCTAAAAAGGACGAGCTTCACTTCTATGCAGAACTTACATCACTTGCTATCTTTCGATTGGCTTTCGCGGCAAGAATCGGAATGGAGTCCATCTTGATCTCAACTTGCTTGGCCTTCAATTGTTCCCAGTCATATTTATACCAATTCTAAAACAGGAAGGAAGGACCAACGTAAAGAAGGTGTGATATAAACTGCAGGAGAGATTATCTCAAATTTATAAAACTTTGTGTAGATAACAGAGAAATCTATAACTATTCATATATTTGAACAATTTTTAATAGGTGACAATTGGTGTGACAATATCAGGAACAGGAAGTCTGCATTTTTAAAATGAATCTAAAAGGGCATTGCAAGATTTCAACAGATTGCTTTAAAACACAATCCAAAGACATGACTCCTCTCCAAATGTGTGGAGCTTCATTGAAAGAAAGAAAGGCTTTAATAAGTTATGGGAGTTTTCCTAACAACTACTGAATGCACCTGTGGCAAGCTTCCTTCTTTATCCTCCATGCGGTGCAACATTCCTCATTCTTTCGAGAGTTCTAATTTCCTGCAAGTTTCTCCTTTCTCTGTTGTTTCAGTCATTCTGTTTCCAGCTCCCTATGAGGCCTCCAGAATTTCAGCAGATCCCTCCACCACCCCTAATCTGTTCTACTTTTAAATCCATTCCCGCAGCCACATTTGACCTCACAAGTGCATAGAAAAATTACCCTTTGGACTACAATGTCCAGAATCCCCCTGGCAGCATGGCCACTGGTCATGAAGGTGGAATGATTCTAAGTGTGGTCGCCCAAACACCACCTTCCTAGCTCTCAGCATTGCCTAGAAACTTGCTATGAGGTCAATTTCTTCCTTTTCTTTCCTCCTGATCTCATTTTCCCTTTCAGTCTTTGGCTCTGGCTTCTCCAAGTCCTGTTCGGAAGCCTGTGTCCTTAGTCCGGCATGTCTAGGCTCTCTATTCCTTTGCACTGTTTCGCTTTCTGCTTGGATCCAACCATGCAAATGAATAACGGCAACAATACCGCTGCTGCTATACAGGCAAACCAAATCGCAGGTTGTGGCAGTTTGATTCACAGCCTCTGTTATGGCTGAATTCACAGTCAATGCCCACACAGAGGCTGTGGATTGATTTGGGAGTTCAGTGTCCACATTCAGTGTGATGTAATTTGCATTTCTTTCTTTCCTCTTCTTTCTGTCCTTCCTGCCTCTGTTGATCCTTTTATGATTCACTGCAAAGCTGCTTGATTTTGAAAAGGTTGTAGAGTATTCCGGAAAAAGTGGCAACGTTCCAAAGTTCTTCTTAGCATGTACAGAAATACTACATACCACAAGACTGTCTTTTATTTCATCTGAGTTGTTTCTGTTTTATTTATTTTATTTTATTAATTTGATCTAGAAGTCAACTAGCACTAATCAATACCAGTGATAAGGGGATAGGGGGATCTAACACTAATTTCACATATGTGGAGAATAAAAAAAAGAAGGATGATCAGAGGGAAAGAAGAACATAGGGATGAGTGTTCCTGCAGTCCTAAACGTCACATCCCAACTGTCTACATCACTGAAACACTACCCACAGACACAGACACACACAAACACACCCATCTTTACAACTGAAATCAACTGATTACAAGATTAAAATACTGTTTAAATTGCTCTGGCTTGGAAAATATAGAAGCCACCAGTGGCAAAGGGGAAAAAAAACTATGCTAGGAGCAAGTAGGCTGGACCAATTTGAAATAACCTTTGCTTTGTGTGATCAGTAAAAAATTAATTTGAATTCATCCATTTTATAAGTGGAACAATCCCTAGTTATTTGACCATGTAGTCACAGCCTAAGTGAGGCTCAAAGGCAGTTTGCGACCAAATTTTGTCCCTCATTATCTTTTGCTATAGAGCCAGTGGCGCACACTTACATCACTGAGGTTGTATGCATTGACTCTGGACTGGAGGAAGAGCGGGGCATCTGGTGGAATGGAACATTTGAATTTCTCACTCTCATGTTTGGCTTTGTAGTTCAGCTGAAAGACAAAATGGAGAAATCATGGCATAAGGTGACAACTTGAAGAGCTTGTGTTAAAATGCATGCAATGGCGTTTGCCTGTAAATAGAAGGCATTTGATCCATCAAAGCTTTCCATTGATTGGAAAGAGAAGGAAGCAATCATTATTTCCTCTTTTATCTCTCCCATTTCCTACATTCCCCACATACACAACATTCCTAGGCCTCTGGAAAAATGTAGGAGGTGATGTAAGGACGGCTGAAAAATGCAAGGAATCAGCCAAAGTTGGTTGCCTCCATCTTCCACCAGCAGGACTATTCTGAGTGGAACTACAGTCATAGACACACTCGTCCAGTGGAATAAGATCCAACCCACTGTTAGTAATGATATTTATCAACAGTATGTCTATTGTTCAGCCCGTGTCAGGAAGCTTATTAATAGAACAGCTCAGCTGATGCCGTCAGGAGCAGTAAGAGACAGATATTCCAGGTGGGGGAAATATAACTGCTGGTAAAGGTTGAGTTCTGCCACTGAGCAACTACTACTTCCTGCATGTGTGGATGGGCATCTACGGGGACAGTAGGGCATTGTCCCACTTCATGTCCAGGTTTCTTCTGGCCAGCCTGTGTCCACCTGTCTCCTTATCAGTGGCAGGAAGCACCCTACCAGTGTTCCCCTCCTCATCTATGTGAATGTGTGAATGTTTGCTTGCCCAGCTCTACCTGTCAGAAGCAGTTCCACCCATTTCTGCTGTATCGTACATCTCTCCAGCTACAACGGGCCCCAACCACTAGTGTCCTGGCCCATTGTCTTTAAAAAGCAAACAGGTGTCAAATCTCCCCTGTTCTAGATGACTTTCGGTGTTGTCACAAGGTAAAGCTACAGCGTCATGGCTGGAAATGGTTTGCGAGATGAGATCCATGAAACTTAAGAGCGGGCTGCTTTGTGTTGTCCTCGGTTGCCAGGATACTTACATCGCTCAGCTGCTTGGAGTTAATCTGTGCTTGTACCAAAACGGGTGAGTCTGTCACTTGTGTAAATTTGATCTGATCAGGATGCTTTCTGTAGGCATACTAAAATGAGAAGGGAAGGTTTTTTTTTTACAATGAATTGATACTTGATTTTAAGCAGACATCATTATTATGATATGGAATTCAATATCGTCCTGTCCTGTTGAGCAGAGGACATTTTGGAGATCACACATTCATAAGATCATCATACATTGGAAGTGACTTAACAGTCCATAACAACAACATTTCAATATCAGCATATTTTTTATAAACAAAATCCAGATGTTTTTATTCAGCATAAATATGGCTACATTTATAAATATAGTTATAGTTAAATATAGTTACTCTTGTTTAAAGGTGTTAAAGCCTGCTGCCAACAGCCTGACAATCAACAATAGGAAGAATTCAATGGGTCAAAGATAGGCAGGAATGTATTACACATTGTGATGAATTATGGGTGGTACTGTAATAAGGTTGCACTTGCCCCATAGAGGCACAGAAGTCAAGGCCCTTATTTGCACAGTTCATCCTAAAGAGTGTTGGTCTGTATGATTTGCCTGAGAAACCATACTCATGCCAAATGCATTCTGTCCATCAGATGTCACAAGAAACCTGTCTGTCCACCAGATGTCACAAGACATCTGGTGCATTCTGTCCACCAGATGTCACAAGAAGCCTATCACTCGTCACCTGTCAAGGTGATGAATCCTGAAGCTATATGTGCTCCAAATGTATTTATTTATTTATTTATTGGACTTATATACCGCCCCATAGTGCTACAAGCACTCTCCAGGCGGTTTTACAATTTTTTTTTAATTATACAGGCTACACATTGCCCCCCCAGCAAGCTGGGTACTCATTTTACCGACCTCAGAAGGATGGAAGGCTGAGTCAACCTTGAGCCGGCTATCTGGGATTTGAACCCCTGGTCGTGAGCACAGTTTTAGCTGCAGTACAGCGTTTTAACCACTGCGCCACGAGGCTCAGTTCATATATATATGAACACGTATATAAAGAATACTGATGGTTTTAAGTCATCTTAAACCTAAATTTGTATCATGCCACACCATTGGGCATGCTTCTTCCCAGTCCCCCCCTCCCCTGCTACTGAAACTGTCTGTATCTTAAGGATGCTTTTCATTTTAAGGGGGGGAATGCTGTCACTCTGTATTTTGCCTCTGGTTCAAAACACAACTGCGAGTAGGTGCTGATATATTTATTTAGCAGAATTTCAGTAGAGGCAGGACTCCAATGATTTCAAGTGGTTTTGGATTAGCATTAAGAATTGCAGCCCATAGTGTCCATTCATCAGCAGAAAGTCACCTGCTGGCAGAACAGCACCCCAGACCAAATAGGTTCCAAATCCATTCCAAAAGATTAAGGAACCCCTACCGTGTGTGGAATTGAACATGGTGCAGCACGATTGTAGGGGTACAGAGGGGAAAGAGAAGTCTTACCGTTAAAAGGAAAAGCCCTCTCACAAAACACTGGTCAGGATCCTAATAGTGATCATGTAAGGTTTGTGTAACGATGTATAGACATCCACACTAGAGGTTGTGTGGTTGATTGTGCGTGATTTCATACACAGGGACTGCAGAGAGTATACATATTATATGATATAGACATCAAGGGACAGAAGATTTAAAAAATCACCCATGAACCCAAACAACCCTTGGGTAGACCAAAGATGTTTAGATGCAGAGGATATAGGAGACCGATTATATCTTCTGGATTTTAGAAAATATATCAGGAATTGGAGAAGAAAACACCAAGTTTGACTTGTACCCAAGAGGTTGGGCTTCTCATCTACATGAGGTCCCACCTTAGACCCCTTAAGGTTGCTCTACAGAGGCCTCCAACACTGCAAGGCAGATCCTGAGGCTCTTCATGTGGCTGAGGAGGAACTTGCCCCTTCAGTTAACAGACATTTTCTCAACAGGAAGGGTTAAACCAGTGTCACTTTATCCTTTAATTCCTTCTAAATCCAATTGCATAAGATTTCACAGAAATGAGTACCTACATCTTTGCACTGGTCTAGTTTCTTCAGGGCTTCATATTCTTGAGTTATGGTCTGTGGGAAGTAGCATTTCCCCTTGTCTTCTTCATAGTCTGCTTTGTAGTTTTTCTAGAAAAGCAACAACCACGAAACAATCGTCACCACGAGCTCATCGGCACAAGGGAAGCCCAATACATTGGCAGACTCAATACTCACATCGCTCTTCATGGCTTCCACTTTAATGTAGTGGGAGTGATAGGGGTCCTCGTAGCTGCCTATGTAATGGCCCAAAATCTTTTCATTGTATGGCGCTTTGTACTTCACCTATGCAGAAAGAAAACACCATTATGTGTTTCCTCCAATGTACCAGTTTGGGGACTTTCAGTCTCCACCACAATGTAGGACCAATTGCCACCAAACTGACCTCACTGATGCTTTTCAGGACGTTGTCAATCTGATACTTTGGAGTCTCACAGTAGTTAATGCTTGTCCCTTTTGACTTTTCATACGCTTCCTTGTACAATCTCTGCCAAGAGAAAAAGTAGGAAAGTCATAATACAGGAGGATCACAAGAAATGTCATCATTCCATTTAGAAAGCGTGTGCTAGCTGCAGGTAGAAACTTTAAGCTGCACTTTAGATGCTAGAATCAAATCTACATTGTTCTTATCCACAATCAGAACAATAACTAAGGTACAGGAGGAGATACTTTTCTGGTAATCAGAGCCTTTTAGATACTCTGGCAGGGGGTGAGAAATATTAGTAAAAATAGTCCTTCTTTTTGCTGCAATGTTTTACATGTGTTAATTATTATTATCTGAAATGTTTTACATGTGTTGATTATTATCATTGTCATGAGTTAAACCAGGATACAGAACTGCAGTCTGATATTTTTTTTAAAATACTGAGAAGCTGTCATTCTATTAAATAGTCACAGTTCTTTTTCCCAAATTTGTTTGCTCATGAGATATATAACATGCCTTTCTTCTAAAAAGTGGTTTTCATACTGTGAAGGATATGCAAAGCTAAAAATTGTCTAAATACATGAACATCCATGTTGAATTCAGCATACTCTCAACGTCCCATAAAGAAATGCTATGTACGGTGTACACTTTCTTGGCACTCACATCGCTCTGCAGCTTGGACACCTTCTGGGAAAGTAACAGCCTGGGATCATCCTGAATGCTCAGAGCTCCAATTAGCTTCCCTTTGCTCTGCTCGTATGCTTTCTTATATTCCACCTGTGTGGGGGAGAAGATGGATTATTCCTTGCATTTTCATTCCATTTTTAAAAGGTATTTATTAACATTTTAATATATAATAATAGCCAGCAATAATTCATGATTTGATACACAACATTCTTCTGCCTTCCGTGCATTCCCCATGCAAGTCCAAAAGTAATTTTTAAAGACCACCTTTATTTCTTTGCAACACTTACGTCACTGGCGATCTTTCTATTGGCTTTTGCAGCAATGATTGGAATGGCATCCATCTTGATCTCAACTTGCTTAGCCTTCAGCCGCTCCCAGTCGTATTTATACCAATTCTGACACACAGGGAAGAAAAAATATGTATATGTGGCATCCATTACATATTACATATGTAAAATTACATAATGATGTGCAAATATGTATATAGAGAAATATTATACCTATGAGGTAGTATGAGAATGGGCAAAGGTGAAAGTATAAACCTCTTACTAACTTGTATTACCAAAGAGAAAAGGGGAATTCTGAGTTTGTGCCTGCATAAATTCCCTCATATGGATGGTATAAATGATACCATCTTCCACTGGTTTTAATGGATCATATATTCTGGCAGGAATAACTCTTATTAGCAGCTTCATTTAAGCAAAGAACATTTGTTAAGCCACTGGTGTGTATCTCCTCTGGTTCCTTACTCATTTATACCCATTCTTGTTCTTGTTTAATGCATCACACTCTCTCTTTCAAGATCTGGCCTCACATTGTCCCTTGTATCTATTCCCTCTTACACCAATCATTCAATTTTTTCCAGTCCTCAACCCCTACCAACACCAGCACCACAACCTTGTTTCCATCTGAACCATTAAAGAATACAACCACACCGGGCCTTTTGGTGTGAGTTGGTGTTGTCTAAATAGGGTCACTTAAGGTTGGGAGGAGGAGTGATGTGCCATTTGGTGAGATACTGGTGTCCAAATGGCATACCAACCTTTAGTGACCCTATTTCTGGTATAATGAAGAGGCTTAATAAACCAGCTGCTTCAGGATATTGGCAAATTGAACATTTTCCTTGCTCCTCTGAGAAGGTGCAGGGGAAGTGAAATAATGATGATGATGATGATGTCTGCTAGATCATTGCTGATGTGCTTAATCACTTAGATTAAATTTTAAATATATATTTTCTTTCCTTTGTACACAATTGGCACTACACACAAAGGAATTTTTTTAATTTAATCTAAATGATTCAATGCATCAGTGATGATCTAGCAGAAACAAAAATAATAATAATTTGCTCATACCATGAAATGACTTGTTTATTAAGCTTCTTCATGGCACTGGAAATTCAAGCCAGAAGGAGCCTTGGCAGCTTTGACAGCTGCAAGGATTGATTTTATTCCATTTCCAGAGATTACATGTGCTGGGAATGGACTAAATGAGAGCTCACCTACCCACACCAAAAAAAGGCAGAAGTCCCTGAGAAAGGCTCAAAAAGGTGTTGGTAGGGGCATTCTGGAGGCAAATTAATCCACTCTAAAAATTACACTGTGTGGTCACCAGAAAAAAAGAGTGGACAAAACCACCCCCACAGCACACCAAACAGCAGGACAAATTTCTGCCCAAACTTGCCATTAGACTTACTTTGAGAGCACTTCTCCACTCTATTTCTTTATTATCTCAACTTTCCCTCCAAGTCCTGACTAATTGCAGATGGACAACATTTAGTGCTACAAGCCAAAAGAGATTGGGCAACTGTTCTGTCTTTCCCTTTTTGGTGAGTCTTCTATGCTAAGACAAAAGACAGAAGATGCTGAGGAAAAATATAGGTGGGTTACAAATGGAGGATTGTGAATAAGGCAGAGCAATGGCATTGTGGAAGTCTCATCTTGAAGCACATTCTTAAGTATGACTTCTCCACCAATCTTCTTTTGAATAGCATTTCCAAGCTCACCACCAGAATCTTCCTTCATCTGGGTTTTTGGTCTCTGACCCCTTAACTCATCTTCCTCCCTCATCTTCCTTTAGGCTTTCTGCCTAAATCCCATTGCAATCAATGAAAAAATGGCTGAGATACCAATTTTGTGATTTCAGAGTAATAATTGCCTCAACTACAATCTGTAGCCCAGTTTTGTTCTATGTGTCTTTCTGCCTGTGAAAGTACTACAGTACTGTGTTTTCCTGAAAATAAGACAAGGTCTTATATTAATTTTTTCTCCAAAAAAAAGCATTAGGGCTTATTTTCAGGGGATGTTTTTTTCAGGTACAACAATGTACATTTATTCAAATACAGTCATGTCATCTTCTTCTAGTTGCTGCACAATGGTGGAGGGCATTAACTAGGGCTTATTTTTGGAGTAGGACTTCTATTACGAGCATCCTGAAATATCATACTACAGCTTATTTTCAGGTTAGGTCTTGTTTTTTGAGGAGACATGGTATGTATCATGGAAGAGTCATACTTACATCACTGGCATTATAGGCATTGACTCTGGCCTGAAGGAAGAGAGGGGCATCAGGTGGAATGGAACATTTGAACTTCTCACTCTCATGTTTGGCTTTGTAGTTCAGCTGAAATGCAGAATAAAGAAACCAAGATATGAGGACAGGCAAGATGTCAGATCAAATTCAGGTACAGGTTGTTTATATCAGAAATAAATAACAATTCAAATATTGAACATAGAAGTCCCCCTGCTATGCCATGCATCGAACATTGGACAGATCCCATAAAGCTGGCAGCAAGAGAGAAAAGTAGAATTGAATAGGAGTGAGACTGACCCAAAATAATATCTGAATATGCCTTCAATTGTCCTGCAGCTGTTCAGTTATTAACCTAGATCAGTGAGGGATTATTAAAGTTGCTGATAATCTGGGATCTCCTCCTCCCTTTCTATCCCCGTCCCACCTTCTGTGCCCTTGATGTACTTGTTTTGATTGTTTCTGCATGTTTATGCATGTGACTAGACTATATATTGTGAACTCATTATTGTGGGTGTGTACATGGTGTGCTCTGGTCCATGGGGTCACAAAGAGTCGGACACAACTCAACGACTAAACAGCAAACATAGGGAAACTGATGAGGATACAAAAGAGGGATGTTGGGGTCATGTAGGTGGATCTGAGGTCATGGATGTGCTTTGCTGAATTAAAACCAGCAAAACTTAAACTTGAAAAAACAAATATCTCAGTAGTAAGGAATCTGGCAATATTATCTTGAATTCATGTCAGAAGCATATCACCATTGACATCTACAGACAGTGTCATCTTACACTGTCAGAAGCTTCTTGTTTTCTGCAAATACAGCCACAAGAGGTGGGCTTTTCACTTTCACACCAAGCGGTGCTTCCAACCAAAAATAGGAAGAGATATCATAAACCTCTCTGTTTTCAAATAGGTGAAAATCAGGACTGGCTGAGCTACAAATGCATGTCCACTTTTGTCAATGTAGCCTCCTATTGATATGAAACAATTCTGTTGGTCTCATTTCTCCAAGTCTATTCAGATGCCTATTATATCACATCATTATGGGGAATAAATACAGTTGACAACATGGCATTTTAGTCATAAAAAATAAAAAATTACAAGGCCTTGGCCAATATGTTTACTGATACACAAGCTTCCCCCACAATACAAGTGGACTCCAACCATATGAAACTAAGGAACGTGAACATGTTGGTTGCTATCTTGCATCCATGGCTTAATATGTGCCAGAGGTTCACAGATCAGCACTAGCTAGGCCCAGCCCTATCAACAGAGACAGAGAGAGATGACTGCTTTAAGCAACACTTCACCCTCACTTGTTCTGCCTGAGCCCCACTGACGCTTTCTCTCCATGAGAAGACAAAGTAGTGTGTGCCGTCTTCCTTCCTGGGCCTTCTTAAACTAGCCTGATGTTTCAAATATGGCGGAGAACTCTATCCTACCACCAGTATTGAAGGAAGTTCCAACTTTCAACTCAGTTTGGCTTCGCCATGTAGAATGAGGAGAAAACTTCATCTTGTTGGCTATATCAGGCAGGAGAATATTTTAGACTGGCCCCAAAACTAAAGCTAAGCCTCCAAGTAATCAAAATTCTAACACAGAACAGAATATGACAGAGTACATGAAGAGTAGGATTCCCCCCCCCCGCTCCCGATTAAGTACACCCATCTTCACCATGAGCACAAAGTAAAAGAAGGGTATTCCTTGTCAAGGAAGTAAACTTGCCAGAGAAATTTGTTTCCTGACTCTCAACACATTTCTTACTACAGATTTGTGCCTGTAGACAAAAATGTTGCAGTGCTTCCCCCCCTCCCCCGCGCACCCCTTTCAAATGGAACAAGGGCGAAGTCTCCTGTTTGCGTTCCCTCTGGATTACTTTCGGTGTTGTCACAAGGTGAAGCTACAGCGTCATGCCTGCAAATGTTTTGTGAGATGAGATCCATGAAATTTAAGAGCAGGCAGCTCTGTGTTGTCTTCAGTTGCCAGGATACTTACATCGCTCAGCTGCTTGGAGTTAATCTGTGCTTGTACCAAAACGGGTGAGTCTGTCACTTGTGTAAATTTGATCTGATCAGGATTCTTTTTGTAGACATACTGGATGGAAAAGAAAGGAACAAAAGCAAAGCAAAGCAAAATAAAAGAGACAGAAGATTTTGGGTAAGCATTAATATTCTGCAAATACATCATAATATCAACATGAAGTGTTTTATAAACAATTTTAAAAGCATGTTCGGATATTTCTGTACAGTAGATTAAATAATTGTTAACTGATAATTATTTAATCAAGCTAATGCTTATCTGGCTATGGCAAGTTGCAACACTGTCCTAAGCAGATCTTGAAAGCCCTCAGAGAGTTAAAGATAAAAAGCATTCAGGCAGTTGCAGAGAAATATCCTGATAAATTTGATCAAACAGCACAATGCAATTTAACTAAGAACTATGGACAGTCATGGAACATTATGTCATAAAGCCCCTAGCCTAACAATGCTAAAAGCCTCAGATGTCCAAAGACAAGTTTTAACATTACTGTTCAACATCATAGTCAACCTATCAGAACACAAACGCCTCATACACAACACGTCATGCAATGCCCCAGGTCAGTGTTTCCACCTCTCTAGTTAAATAGGATGAACTACACTGATATTTATGGTTTTACTTGAGAAACAGTGCATGTCGGCTAAATATATCCTGTCCACTAGATGTCACATAGATCCTATAAAATGTCATCACAGAAAGTATGAAGTTGGCCAGCCACCGTTCGGAGTTATGAGACTAGAGGAGAAACTGCATGTCCCATGCCTATTACTGGAGGGAGCCCCAACATTTTTTATTTTATTAGTGGGGGAAACCTCTGGAGCTTGCAGTTCTGAGTGGCAGATGAGCAAACAGGCGAAACCACCAGAGACACTCTGCGCCACTGCCCCCATTCCTCATACCACTAATGCATTCGAAGTCCAAATCTCCCGCTTGTCAGTATAAGAAAGCCTTCACTATTCTCTTGCTGGCACAATCTGCATAAATCTCAGTGGTGCATTGCAACGAGTTAAGAACCTAGCATAGGCCTCTGCTGTGGCATGCCCTGTCACACAAGTCAGTGCACAACTGCAAATGCCTATGCTGACAGGATGCTGGCACTTGGACTCGGTAACACCTTGAAGTTCTTGATCATACAGTGTCACAGAAAACTACCATCTCGCAGGAACGAGTACCTACATCTTTGCACTGGTCTAGTTTCTTCAGGGCTTCATATTCTTGAGTTATGGTCTGTGGGAAGTAGCATTTCCCCTTGTCTTCTTCATAGTCTGCTTTGTAGTTTTTCTAGAAAAGCAACAACCACGAAACAATCGTCACCACGAGCTCATCGGCACAAGGGAAGCCCAATACATTGGCAGACTCAATACTCACATCGCTCTTCATGGCTTCCACTTTAATGTAGTGGGAGTGATAGGGGTCCTCGTAGCTGCCTATGTAATGGCCCAAAATCTTTTCATTGTATGGCGCTTTGTACTTCACCTATGCAGAAAGAAAACACCATTATGTGTTTCCTCCAATGTACCAGTTTGGGGACTTTCAGTCTCCACCACAATGTAGGACCAATTGCCACCAAACTGACCTCACTGATGCTTTTCAGGACGTTGTCAATCTGATACTTTGGAGTCTCACAGTAGTTAATGCTTGTCCCTTTTGCCTTTTCGTACGCTTCCTTGTACAATCTCTGCCAAGGAGGGGGAAATGAAGATTATAAAACAGAAGTGCCATGGCAAATACTACGGTTCTCTTTCTAGAATTGCCCACAATTAGAACACTTTTAAATAAATGGATTGGAATTCTAAAGTTAATATTTTTGTAAGTCTCATTTATCAATCAATCAGTTAGATTTACCATCCAGTATTAGCTACAGGCTTAGCATTAGGACCAAACAGGAAGCTGCAATATCTTCCTAGATCTCCCTAGACCGGAGATGGCATACCATTATGCTAAGCATTATTTTACGTTTTCTACAATGCTCCAAAACCATGCTACAAGCTCATGCGGGGCGTACAAAGCTGCTACAACTGAGTGTGCAACTGATAAAGTCTGCAGTGATTTCTTATCTTGGAACAAACAACAATAATTTAATGTAGTCTAGTCAGTTCTAATTTAACGTGACTCTTTCCCGGGTTTTTTAGGTAGTGACTTTCAGAAGTGGTTTACCATTCCTTTCTTCTGTGCACACTCTGGAATAGTCTAGGCTGGCTCTTCTTCTGGGGTGCACAGTGGGGAATCAGATTTCCCATCAGATATCCTAACTCACTGAGATATTTAGCCAAAATTCAGACAGTTTATTCTATGCCACCATTACTAGGTGAAGGCCTTTAGGCCACTGTCGTGTACTGTGCCCAGACCTTCTTTCCTGCGTAAAATTCAAGGCATTCTTCTTCTAAGATTCCACTTCTGTTCACAACTTTTCCAAGTACATCTATTAAAACTAATGTGAAGTTTAAACATCAAGCATCTCATTAACCAGGGCCTAGTTTTAGACCAGTGGTTCCCAAATTTGGCTCCCCAGATGTCCTTGGACTAAAACTCCCAGAAGCCTTCACCATTAATTGTACTGACCAGGATTTGGGAGTTATAGTCCAAGAATATCTGGACTGTTTTGGACAATCAAAAGACTTCTAACAGAGTATTCTAACAAATCTAATGATTAAACATTGCAGCTCAACTTTTTATTACAAGGAATGGCTCCTCATGGCAGATCCACATATAGAATCATAGAATCATAGTCTTTGTTGGTCCTCCTCAATATCTTAGCCACCTTTGATACCGTCGACCACGGTATCCTCCTGGGGAGGCTCTCTGAGCTGGGAATTGGTGGCCTGGCACTTGCCTGGCTCCATTCCTTCTTGGAGGAGCGTCCCCAGAGAGTACAGCTTGAGGAGAGTGTTTCAGCCCCGTGGAGCCTCAATTGTGGGCTTAGGAAGGGGTCAATCATCTCCACAATGCTGTTTAATATCTACAGTCAACCCTTGACTTACGAACGGTGCGTTATGAACATTTTGACTTACGGATCGCTCTCATAGGAAAATATTGACTTGACTTAGGAACTTAGATTTGAGTTACGAACTAAAAACAAACATGCGAGAGGTGGGGAAAACGCGAAATTTGAACTTTCAGTTAACCATTGGCCAGTGAAGAGGGTGCCTGTCTGCTTCCTCGCTCTTCCCAGCATTTAGAGAGTGGATTGGGAGACAATCTTCAGACTGCCTGGTACTGCCTGGACTGTATTTATTTATTTATTTTTGGCTATTTTGGGGGTTTTGGATTTTTGATTTTCGCTTTTTGACATTCTTTTTTTAAGCAGAGCGACTGCCTGTTCTGGGTGAGTACACTGTATGTTTTTACTTTACTGTATGTACTGCACAGGGTTTTTTGCAGCTTGGTGGAGGGGTAGGGCTCAAGGTGAGGGGGTCCTGCAGTGTTTTAAAATGTCTGTGCCTGTGCTTAAAATATTATTTGAGTGCATGTGCTATTTGTTCAGGAAGGCAGGCATTTTTGTGCTGGAGGAATGGTTGCTGGATTGCTATGCCTTGCTGTGGGGGGGGGGTTATGTTTCTGTGCTCTTATGAGTCTTGCATTGTTTTAAAATATTTGTGCCTGTGCTTAAAATGTGGATCCAGAGTCTTTTTGTGCTGGTGGAAAGGTTGCTGGCTTCTGTGCCATGCTGGAGGGGGCTTACCACCCCTCAACCTAAAAACCAAAAACAGCCGGAACGGATTAATTGGTTTTCAATGCATTCCTTTGGGAAATGCTGATTTGACTTACAAACTTTTTGACTTACAAACTTCCTTCCGGATTAAAGGATTAATGGATTAAATTTGTAAGCCAAGGGTTGACTGTACATGAGGCCACTGGGTGGGGTCATCAGGGAGTGTGGGGCTTTGTGCCATCAGTACGCTGATGACACCCAGCTCTACATCTCCTTTTCACCTACTTCAGTGGATGCCGTTCTGTCCCTTCAGAGCTGTTTGGAGGCCGTACTGCAATGGATGCAGCTGAATGGGTTGAGGCTGAACCCAGACAAGACTGAGGTCTTGAGGGTGAGTGGCCCGTCCTTGACGGTTTGGGAAATTCCCTCTCTTTTGGGGGGTGACTCTCACCACACAGAGTGGGGTCCACAGCTTGGGGATACATCTGGACCCGGCACTTATCATGGAAACCCAGGTGGCATCCATGGCCCGCTCTGCCTATTTCCATCTGTGGCAGATCACCCACCTGTGACCCTACCTTGATGGGGGGGGTCCCTCACCACTCTCATCCATGCACTCGTAATCTCGAGATTAGACCACTGTAATGCACTCTGCATGGGGCTACCTTTGAGATTGATGGGGAAGCTTCAAATGGTGCAGAATGTGGTGGCCAGACTCCTCAGTGGGGTGAGAAAACACCAGCATATCTCTCCCACTCTGGCTGCCTTACATTGGCTGCCCATTCATTTCCGCATTGACTTCAAAGTGTTAATGATGACGTATAAAGCCCTAAACGGTTTGGGATCTCTATATTTGGCAGATCGCCTTCTCCCACCTAGATCTACCTGAATTACTCAGCACAGCCAGGAGGGACAGTTGAGAGGCCTAATGCCAAGAGGGTCCAGAAAGAAAGAACAAGAAACTGGGCCTTCTCGGCAGTGGCCCCTCGACTATGGAACAGCCTTCCAACAGAGATCCACCTGGCAGCCTCGCTGGGTATTTTTAAGAGCCAGTTAAAGACTTGGCTCTTTAGGCAGGCCTTCCCTTCCGTCAATTCTTGAATTCTATCTCCTTTTTTTAAATCATTCCCCATCTTGAACACACCATATTATTGATTTAATTGTTTAATGTTTATGATGTTTTTATTATATTTTATTATATCTGTAAGCTGCCCCAATTAGACGCTGTCTGGGGGGGCAGGGTAGAAATCTAGCAAATAAATAAATAAATAAATAAATAAATAAATAAATGAATGAATGAATGAATGAATGAATGAATGAATGAATGAATGAATGAATAAATAAATAAATAAATAAATAAATAAATAAAGAGCCCATTGCTGCATGTCCTGGGCTCTGGGATGAACAAGAAGAAGATCTTGCCCTTCCTCTGCATGAGAGCCTTTCGAGTATTTGAAAAGTGGTATCATATCTCCCCTCAGTCTTCTTTTCTCAAGGCTAAAGATGCCCAATTCTTTCAGTTTTTCCTCATAAGGCTTGTTTTCCAGCACCCTGATCATCCTTATCACCCTCTTTGGAACTTGTTCCAATTTCCCAGCATCCTTCTTGAAGTGCGGTGTTGAGAACTGAACACAATACTCAAGGTGTGGCCCAATCAGTGCTAAAGAGAGGGGAACTAGTACCTTGTGAGATTTGGAGACTATACTTCTGTGAATGCAACCTATTAATGTATTAGAATTTTCTTTTGTTCTAAAAAAATGGATGTCTATGAACTATTGATACTACTTTAGTTAAAACCATCCCTGGGGAAATGTAGCATACTTACATCATTTACAATGTTCCCAACGTGTTTCAGATGCTTGAGCACTGGATTCTCTGTTGCTGGAAGCACATTATAATCTGTATTTGCTTTGGATTTTTCATAAGCTTCTTTGTATTTCACCTAAAGAAATGAAAGAAGGGTCAACTTCAATCACGTTTCCAAATATATGCTCCTTGAGCATCTTGCGCTAGTAAGGTGGTTCTATAGGCACTTACATTATATTTAGAAGAAGAAGAAGAAGAAGAAGAAGAAGAAGAAGAAGAAGAAGAAGAAGAAGAAGAAGAAGAAGAAGAAGAAGAAGAAGAAGAAGAAGAAGAAGAAGAAGACTGGCAGCAGCATGTACATACGATTTTAATTAAACCACATATGAGACATGGAGGAGATTTGATCTCTTTAATTATGAGAACAATTGAAACATTTTTCAGCTGAACCATTCTGATCCATTTCGGGCTGGCTCTTGGCCATTTTTGCATGAGAGAAACATCTGCTTTCAATAGAATGTCTCAGACTTGCAAATGCTAAGAACAATGTGGTTCTCATTTAGGGAAATGAAGAATGCTTCAAGCTTTTTATCCCTTGTGCTGAATCGGAGAAAGATGATAATGTGCTGTGGCCCCAAAAGGTAAGTAAAGACTGAATGCTGAGTAAGGCTGAAGTCACACTACCAAAATGCCCTCCCTTTTTTCTCTCTCATGTCTTTTCGTTCCTGTGTAGTCGTGCATCGTGGTCATGTAGCATATATCTTGTAATAAGGGTACATATGTTTTTAACCATTCCAGCTTTTTAAGGGTAAATTAGAAGAGGTTCGTTTGTCTACAACCCTCAAGTGGGACATATCTCCTTCCTTTCTTTTTGCATTTCTCTGCTTCCCTTTCACCTCTTTTTTTTTAAAGAAAAAAACTTGTATTACTGTGTTGGCAAAACACCCATGGTTGCCCCTGATGGTGCCCTGGGGCACCACAAAACTAGTGAGGAGGAACACTGAAGCTTTTCTTTTTTTCTTTTTTTTTTCTTTTTGCTAAGCTGGTGGCAGCGTTGTTGCTGCTGCTGCTGCTGCTCTCACAGCTTCTTTGCTTCCTGTTCCACCTGCTTTGCCGCTGCTCAGTGGAGTTGCAAGTGCAAAAAGTTTGGGGACCACTGCAGTAGGGGACTGATGCTCCATATGCTTCCTTTCAGCCATTCCTGGATGACTTGGGTGTGTGTGTGTGTCCTATTATTATACCTGTTCCCTCTATTTCTTGGATAGCCCTCAACTTCCTCCTTTAGCTTTCCCCTTTGACCCCCTTCAACTTTTCCCTTTATAATCCTCAAGTACGTCAAGCCATATTTGACAGAAGCATACCAATGCATGGACATTCTGGTTTGGAAATTGTTTTCTTAAAAAAAGAAGAAGTTGGATTGTAGCTGTTGGGAGACATGTTGCCTTGAAGATGCCGGACATTGTCATTCAAAAAAGGGTCCTGTCCAGACTCCTTAAGTTAGGCAGTCACCTGGGTCAGCATAATACAAAATCACCGGTCGCACTAGGAAGAGAATGATAACCTGGCTTTGCAGGCCTCTTTCCATGGAAATAAACAACATAGTCCCATAGTTTTCTCTGACTAGGCTGGCCACTTATACAATATGAGAAGGGAAGAAATGTATAATAAAACAAGGACAAAGTTGGGGGGGGCAATTGGCATGCATTTGCTTGTGCTAAGTTACACAGATGCAGAATTAAAAAGTAATGTATTTTATTAGTAATAAACATGAAATACAGCAAGGCCATGTAAAATACATCAAAATGAAATAAGATGTTTTAGGAGCATTTCTGCTTAAAAATGTATAATAGATATCCAAATAATATGTTACCAGATAGGGAGATGCATAGGAGTTAAATACATACATACATACATACAGACAGACAGACAGACAGACTCACTCACTCACTCACTTACTCACTTACTCACTTACTCACTTACTTACTTACTTACTTACTTACTTACTTACTTACTTACTTACTTACTTACTTACTTACTTACTTACTTACTTACTTACTTTCTGGACAGGACCTTAAAACCAGGAAAATATTACCTGTTTTTGCTTAAACAACTATTATACAAAAAAGGGAGGGGGAGGGTAAAAGTCCAGTGGAAAGGTGGGAAATGGACAGATTGTCCAATAATCTTTTCCATCTCTTTAAAGAATACTAGCCATAACTGAGAAATCAGTGAGAGTGAGAAATGCTACTTCATTCCCTCTGTAATTCCTTCATCCTACTTCAGCCTGTCCCCTCAAAAGTGTCAAAAATGCTGGACCAATCTTGTTGGCAATGGATGAAATGCTCCCTAGAAGTATCTAACAGGAGACACATAACACAACATGATTCAAGCAGCAGATGTAACCGTAGCTTTCCTGCCTGGGGCTAAGCTAATAGACAGAAATGTTAACATACCTTACTAGCAACAGCTCCAGCACGTTTCTTAACCTCATATTCTGGCGTCTCCGTCTCCATGAAGTAGATTTGGTCTTTCGTGTTCTCCCAGTCTTCCTGGTACCTTCTCTGTGAGTGACAGAATACACAACAATTGTTCAGTAAAGTGTGGATCTAAGTTGGAATTTTGCTGGAAATGAAAATGGCAGAGGGAAAATGACAGGTGGGAGGGCACAAGAGTCAAAGCACAAGGTTGGGCGCCACTGGCTGAGCTTGAAATCTTTTTCTTATCTTTACCATGCTCAAGTTGTCAGTGTTCATTTTGGCAACTGCAACATCATAGCATGGGGTTTGGCTCCATTTGCCTTTCTTCTTGTTATAATCTTCATGATATTTCAGCTGTGAAAGAAAGAAAGAAAGAAAGAAAGAAAGAAAGAAAGAAAGAAAGAAAGAAAGAAAGAAAGAAAGAAAGAAAGAAAGAAAGAAAGAAAGAAAGAAAGAAAGAAAGAAAGAAAGAAAGAAATTTAATTAAAGGGAAAGGACCAAATCTACCCCTGTGATACATTGTTTTGTCAGAGCATCTATCAAAGAATTGTATTGTTCTTTACAATTTTCCCCTTTGATTTCTTTGAATGTTGGAATAAAGGTTTTTTATTGTTTCCAGCTTCAGCAATCCTCTGACTTGGAATTAGAGAGGGGAAATAAAGCTTGGAAATAGAAAACTTTCCATCAGATTCTCATGGTGGATCAAATCTGCTTAGTCAGTTATCTGCTATTTGAATCTAATGTTAAAATTGGCTGTTAAAAATAAAAGTGTGGTACTTCCATTTTAATGTCTCTGTAGGGCTAAAGCTGCATCTCTCTCAAGAAGCAAAATAGGAAGTGTGTGTTCTGCGGTGAAAAAGATCATAGGATGAATTGAACCTTGGTTAAAAGAAGAACTGCCACTCCCAGGGGTTTCTAGAAGCTGCAGTTCTTCTTTTTTTAACAAAAGGTTTTGGCATGAATGGGGCTCCCAAAGGCTTCCCCGGGCAAAAAAGTGTCTTAAGGATGCCTCAGAAGCAAACAGCGGGATAGGAAGCCTCAATTTAATTTAATTTGATTTAATTATTTCTGGCACACCAATCTGGTTTATACCAGCAAAATTGCACCAACAGGATTTGCCCAAATGAATTAAGATATCCCTCATTGCTACAATTGTAGTGTAATGTACTTATACTTGAAGGCCCAATAAGTTGATGCATCACTACAAGAACAAATTCATTGAGGGTAGATTATATGTGATTTTTTTCCTAACCTTTCATAATAGCCCTGATTACTGGACAAAGGGTTAATGAAAAGTAACAAGTTACTTTCATTAATCCTTTTCTCCTATGCCCAAGGCTATTTGGAATGAAAGACTTTTGGCAAACATAAATTCTCCTTTGAGCCCTCTTCGTATTTTCCCCACCCTTTTTTTTCTGCATGATTGAGAATTCTGGCTTGCTCTGCTGTTCCTAGTTCTTAAAGGATGTGTTTATCTAAGCATTATTACTCACGTCACTGAGCTGCCTGGTTACTTTCTTGGCGAGTTCCACATCAGGTGGGTCTGCTAAAGGAGTGTATTTGGCCTTGCGTTCATTATGCCCTTTTTTGTAGACAATCTGAAATACAGAGGAGAGGGAAGCATGGCTTGTCTAAATACGAAGAACATGTAATCTTGCCTTCTTCCACTGCGAGGTCAGCTTCTACAGTAACAATATAACCTTGATGTAATTAGTTCAGCTGCTTCAGAATTCTGCGCCGTTCCTTGGGCATGGAGGCAGCGATTTTTACCTACATTCTTTTTTGACGTTTTGAGGCAATAAGGGCCAGAACTCAGTATCCTGAATCTTTCTGATTCCATTTTAAAATGAAGGCATAAGAAAGAACCCTTTCTAATGCAGGGATGTACAGCACCGAGAGGTCTACAGAACATGCAACATCTCCTCGTATGACTATATTTTGCAGTATAAAAAAGAAAGTTCTTTACTGGGTGCTGAAGGCAATTAATTCAACAGTTGGGGGCCTATTTCAGGCTTTGGAAGGCTTTTTTCAAAATCTATTTCCCATTTTGGAACACAGAGAGAGAGAGAGAGAGAGAGAGAGAGAGAGAGAGAGAGAGAGGAAGGAAGGAAATTGTGTGGAAAATGCCCTCACAGCACAGGAGGATATGCAAAGTCTTCTTTCATTTGAAAAAAAAATTGTGTGGAAAATGTCCTCACAGCACAGGAGGATGTGCAAAGTCTTCTTTCATTTGAAAAAAAAAATAGAGAAGTTTGGAGTACAGGAGGTGGGAGTGCTGGAGACACACTGGGGATTGTGGGAGGCCCACATCTTTGCCCACAATTTTGTCCTCTCCTCTCCTCACAGTTGACCGGACAGGATTCATACTCAGTAGACTGGAGTAAATCTTCTGTATTTTGATGGCAGAGCTTTCAGGCTAGAAGGCCCTATTTTCAGGCTGACTCTTCTTTTACAAACTAAGCAGTTCAGAAGAAGGCAGCCACTGCCATTAGCAGAATTTAGAAAAGTTTGTTTTGGGGGGACTACAGCTACAAAAATCTAAGATACAACACAGCCAGTGTCCATGATGACTGGAAAATTTTGGAGGTTCTGGTCTAAAAAAAAGGAACTTTTCCAAGCACTGAGCATTAATTAGGGGGTTGGCGTGGCTATGTTAGGAAGCAAGTTCAGATCTAAATTCTATGATATCGGTAGAGTTTAATTTATAACCTGCCTAGATTTAAGAAGATCCCGAGGGAACAGAGGCTCTGCCCTTGTGGATCTGGTGAGATAGAATCTGTTGAACTATATGATGCTCAGATGTAACAGGCATAACAAGATTCGAGGAAAATATATTACGCCTCTCTTAAAAGACATGACAATCCAATCAGACTCAGACTACTGTAACCAATTGTTAATTGATTAAAATCGGATTACTACAGAACTGGTAGCGAAATTTTGGCAGCATGACATAGTAGCTAGAATAGATAGCCAAACCCTTAGACATTGGTCTTTTATTGTTATACTTGTAGTTTTATTGCTTTTTTGTTTATTTGATTTGGCTTTTTGCAGTATATGTCAGTACTTGAAGATCTGCATTTAATTTTGTTTTCTGTATGGCTGGATGCTGTAATAATAAAGTATGTATGTATGTATGTATGTATAACCTGCCTAGGACTGTAGTCTGCAAGCGCACGAAGGACAGCCAACAGGTATCCTTACAGTTGAGTGAGGGAAAAGAAAATAACACAACCCAACAACCAAGAAGGCTCATGCTTGTCCTAATATTCCATCCTCTGAAGCACGTCAGTAATAATTGAATCGATCTGAGTAAAGCAAGCAAACAAAGAAAGAAGTGCCTCCTGAAGAACATCAAAACCAGACCCACTCCTCTACCAGGGCTTTGATACTTACATCACTGAGGGCCTTTTGGGCCTGTGCGACTCTTCTTAATTCTGGGCTGTCGTCATAAGGATAGAACAGTGCCTTGTCCGATTCCCAGTCCTCAGTATATTGTTTCTGAAGGGAAACGATTTTTTCTTTTCAATCAAAAGGTGGCGTGTGTATAAAACAGACACCAAACGGAAGAGAAAAATTCGGATGACCTTACCTTGCTGAACAAAGCTGTGTTTTTAATTGCCTGCACAAGCTCGGGAGCATCAGGGGGGAGCAGGTATTTTTCCTTATTCTCTTCCCAGTTCTGCTTGTATAAAACCTACCGAGGGACAAACCAGCATACGGGTTACTCAGGCCTAGAGGAACACCTCACTTTGTCCACACAAAAGTATTCATCACAGAGCAGTTTTATAGCAAAATGTTTCCCAGATTTTGGTGAAATAAGACCTACTGATCAGGGAATCTTCACATCTTTTCTTAAAGCTTCTGTATCATATTGATGTTTACCTCATATGAAGTCTATGTGATTAAGCATCTTTGTAAGCTAATAGAAGAAGTACTGTAGAGTTAGACCAGCCAGGCCAAGGAACAGTAAACATTTAAAGGAACTAATCAGAGTCACATTCACTGGTAGTTCTTTATCTTGGACGTTTTGGTGATGAATAATAAAACATTAAGCACATCGTGGTAGATTTTTTTCAAGAAGGGATGGTATGGTTCAGAATGTTTTAAAAATACCAAACTCACCTCAAATAGTCCTAAGTGACATCAGTACAAGGCGCATGAATTGCATGTGCCTTTATGTCATCATGCACAACTCTTCCTACCATCAACCCCATTCTACAAAGAGTCTTACCTTGCTAACTTCCTGAGAAACCTTCTTTGCATGTTCAATGTCTCTTGCTTTCTCATCCACGTGGCAGTTAGTCTTTGCCAGGTCACCAGCCATGCGGTATTTAACCTACAGTAACCACATACACAGTATTGTGAACCTAAAGTGTGCTATTAGATAGACAGATGACCATTCTTTTTAAAGAGGAAGAATGATGTTATGTTGCTGATTACAGTGCTGGGCTGGATCAAGTGGCATCCATTTGGGCATTAATGCTATTCTGTACAATGCAGCATAAATGTGTGCTGACACAGATGAAACGTCTGAAGTTGTAGCCTGTTCTAAGAAACATGCTGCATTATCCTAATTGAAGCAGTGCATCTAGACCTGTGACCTGTAGAAACATCGTCTTAAAATGTGGCTGCACAGAATAATACATAAAAGAAACATATATATTGATATATTATTTTACCAGGTGAGCATGCAAGCTGATTCTAAAAGGCTGCAGACTTCATGTTGGAATTTACTTTAAAGAAGATAGTCTGGCCTCAACATCTTGGCAAGATTATTTTGGGGGACTTTTCCATGTCCCTGCCATCCCTCACCCCCCACACACTTTAGCAATGCTTAGCCCCAATGAAGAGTCCTGTTGGCTTCAAAGGCCAGCTTGAGATTCTAGCAGTCTAACGAAGATGTCTCCCACCCTTGTTTTTGGATTTTGCATTGTATTTCAATGTGCTCAGATACCTAGTTTTATTTAGGCAAGCTTATCTCATAGTTATGCAATCTAAAGCTGCAGTTGTAAACCCATACTTATATTCCCATGAACTGATCTGGATTTACTTCCAAATATACAGTATATACTTAGAATTGGTCCATTATCTGTATTTTTTTAAAAAAAAATTGTTCCAACTGTGCTTTCTTTTGAAATTATTTATCTAACTCTAACTTCAGCATCAGCTGTGATAATGACCAAGAGAAGTTTCAAAGGAAGCAGTGGAATCCTTTTGCTGAGTGGGCACTTCCTTTGAAATGCCAGATTATGAACTAGTTCGAAAATGCTACTTGTTATGCCCTGGCTCCGCTCCGTAGTTTCTTCTGCCTTTTTTTCTATTAGTCTCTTGCTTACTTTAAATCAATGGCTTAAAACCTTATAGAGATACAGTGACTCTGTGAAAAATGCATTATATTTCCCCCAGACAGATACAGTTGCATGTGAAAAATGGGTGCTGAATACATGCAAATATAGGGATGGAAACGTGGATTTGAATTAACGAGCATAAATCATTTCTACATCTAGTTACATGTTTTTTGTGTCTGATGTAGCTCCCATTCTTGTATCACTGTATAGATACACATTGCAGTTACATTCTCCAGAAATGTGCACTTCTTATACAATCACATGTACATGGCAACTATACCAGATACCCTGATGTCGGAATGTGCTTCATAATGTAGGTAAGCAACACAGTATGAATCAGCATCCAACCTGGGTGCACACATTTTCTCCTCCACTAAGGGCATGCACTCAGGCAGACACTGTTTCCAGATGTGTATTTTTTTTTCCAGGTGGTCAGGAATGATCATTCACCACAGGTATTATAGAGTCACAGGTATCTAAGATTCCCATCTGAATCCTAGGAATATCTAGCTTGCTGCTGAGTCTTCAGTTTCCTACCCCAGGAATCTCAGCAACCAGTTTCCTATGGCTCCAGATTGGCTGATGGTAACACGATCGGTATGGTTCCTGCTTGCCTAGCTAAAATTAAAATAGCATCTTCCTACCTCACACCTGGCCGTCCCAGCCCTTACCTCACTGAGCTGGTCCTGGACTTTCCTGATTCTTCGAAGTTCAGGGGTATCGGTCGTAATGGCATATGGCTTTCCTTTCTCTTTCTGAAATTTCTCTTTGTACTTTACCTAGTGGACGAGAAATACAGTAAGACAGAGATAAATATAACCTTCTAATTGTACATGTGGTTTTAATATTATTTAAATTACTTGCCTGGGAATCCTTGTGGAAATGCTTCCTTCTAAAGTTCGTAAGTGTAGGCATCTCTCTCCAGCCCCCCCAAGAAACATTCTTGTAAAACCCATACTTAATGTGATTGGAGTTGGATGAATTACAAAATGAGCATTATTTTCCTGAGAAACATGTGTTGAGTTTCACTTGCTGGTGACATGGGCCATCTCCCCACAAATTTTAATCATGTATCATCTGCAGTTGCTTTCTGTGGTTACAGGAAAGCTAAACTCTGCTACACTGAAGGAGAAACTTGACATACAAAGAATTAGGGCACTGAAATGTACATGGGTGTGTGGCTGATTACATGTAGTTATAGTGATTAGGAGCAGGACTAGCACAAAGGACAAGATGGCACTCTTGATTTCATTTACAGAAGACAACTATGCTGACAACTGAGCCACTCCCTCATCACTGGCAATGGGGCGGCATCTCGCACTACACTGGAAGATGACTGCATAAACTAGCTTAGGACGCATGCATCCACAGTTGTATCCTTCAACAGAGGGAATGGTCAGGGGGCTGAAGAGGGGTGGTCAAGGTTGTCTTGCCACTGCTCTTCTCATGTGCCCCAGCATCTGCTGCCTGAAGTGGACAGCTCAATATGACTCAAGACAGGGCTTCTACTAGAGAGAGAGGCATTAATGTATAGACAGTGGCTTGCCCTCTCCACATATAGGGATAGAGTTCCCACTCAGCTCTTGCTAGGGGCAGAACATTCAAAGGGCAGAAACAGAGATTTTATGTTGCCCTGAAACTGTTCTGCCATGTAACCCTTTTAGGGCTGCCAGGTAGATAGTCCATTAGGTAGACTGAAGTAGTTGCCTCAGTAACCTCTTCTTTACTGTCATGAAAGAGCAGCAAATTATTAGCTAGTTAACACATTATTGCTGTATTTTACTGTCTGTGCTAAGAGGAGGCATCTATGGTATTTCCCACAGCATGTGTCAGAATGAACTTTGGGAACTGACTTAGATCAGGAGGGACTGCCACCTGCCGCTTCACCTAGGCAGCAACGTGTCCTGAGACCACCTTGCAAGTACTGAAACCATGTGTCACCAACTAACCAAAGTATGGCTTCTGAAAAATCCACTTAGGAGATTCTGTTGAGCTCTGCCCTTGTACTGCTAGATTTTGGTCAGGTTCTTCTGTAAGTCTGTCAATTTTTTCCCTAGCTTCAACTTCATCTTTTCAATTTTGCACTGGCTGTGTCCATGATGTGTCAGGTTTTAAGGCTAAATTCAACACCAGTCCACTTTAGAGCAGAGCCGTTGAAATCAATGGGATCTATGACAACTGTGACTAAGAAATCCCACTCATTTCAAAGGGCCTACTCAATGTAGGACTATATGGGTCCAGTTGCTAATTTCCACCCTGGCTTATAGACTTGGGTTCTACACAAGACTAGTCTGGCTATGCCCTTACTCTGGTTTTATTTACAAGCTATTTTCATTTCTTTCCCTCCTATCTTCTGCCTTTCACGCACCATAGATCCTACGGAGGGACTCTTGTTATTGAAATCAAAAGTTGGCAGACATGCTTCCTCTTCATACTGCTATCTGCTGTTCTTTGGAATAGAGTGAATAGAAAGAACTGGGAGAGGAGCTAGGGAACAGGCTCTCCCAAAACGAGAGGAGACGTCTTCTAGGTTTTCCAAACTGAATGTGGCTGGTTGTCAACGCCTGCCAGTCCGACAACAAATATATTTCAAAATTTCAGACCGAATCCTTAAGAGTTCGTGTGAAACATTTGGACTAGCATGAGGAATAGATTAATCACCATTGTGCTTCCACTGAAGTAAGGACTTAAACATCATCATCATCATCAACAACATCTTAGAACTGCAGAACTGGAAGGGAGCCTATGGATTATCCAGTCCAGCCCCTGTCAGGGAGGCACAGTGGGGAATCAGATTTCGTCCAAATATTTTTTTTATAAATGTGTATGAAATAAATTCAGCTATCCTGCTCAGCTGTGAGAAGGGTATAGCCTCATGGGAGAAAGATGGCTGATTTTGTAAAGAATATTATTTAAATCGTGTCTGAGATGCCCCTTTATAAGGTCATAAGTTCAGCCTGGGTTCTTTCTGATGGGCTAACTTCAAAGAGGACTTGCGTCCTTCCCCTCCTCTTTTGGCGTAAGTAGAAAATGGATAATAATAATAACCAATTTTGCTATGCTGAAAGTAAGGAATCGGTAACTGCGGTCCTAATAGCTGTACTTGTAAAGGCAACCTACAGATTCCTAAATTGAACTGAAACATTAAAATTTGACAATGTCTAAGGCACAACACGAACATTAAAACTCCCAAAGGGAGTTTAACCATAACCCATTCAAATAGGGGTGTAGATTACTTTGCATTTGGGAAACGACAATCAAATTTTGACTTACGTCACTAAAGAGCTTTTGCATTTTCGAACTGTGATCCAGGTAAGGGGTCAGAAACTTAGAGGTGTCCACTTTTGTCCGTACAACCTTTTTTCTTACAGGCTGGGAGGTCTTGTGAGATGCATCTGTGCTTTCTGTCATATGCTTTGTGGTTACCGTATAGGGGGTGGATCCAGTGGTGTATGTTGTTTCCGTGATCTCAGTGATGATCTAGAAATATGGGAAAGTGTTGGTGAGTTTTCATTGCCATTGTAGCGCTGCGGTCAGAACCTTTTGTCTCTTCTTCACTTTTAAATGCATTTTGTATGCACAGATTTGTCTGCATATACTTCCAAAAATCAGTGCAGCCAAGCTGCAGATGACTTTATCCCCCAAAAGAACTTTGAACTGGAAGTCGCCCCTCCCTGCAAATTATACCAACAAGTATTTATATGGTTTACCCACAACACATCATTTCTTCTCAGTGTACAAAAGCTGGAAAAAAAATACGATATGACAATCTTTGTAAATAGTTTTTGCTGTCGTACGCATTTTGGGTCAGATACCTAAGATAACTGGACTTTTAAAAGTCATAGCTTTTAACTAATTTTTTAAATGTGTATATATAATAGGTTTAAGTCCAGATCAATGGTTTAATTCATTATTGGTTTTAAATTTATTTTTGTATACCACCTTAGTTCTCCTCTAGGGGAGAAAGCCAGGATAAAAATCAAGTAAAGCAATCAATCCAGAAATTATTGGGAAGTTGGTTTTCTGCAGAAACACCATAAAACATAGTTCACAGTGTCCATTTGGTACTACAATACTTGAGAATTTATCTGAACTAAGAATTTCTTTTTAAGTTTTGACCAATTTCTTCTCATTCAGAACATGCAAAATGTAGACAGTTCAAGAGTATTATCCACAGAATTTCCTTCACATACTCTTTGTGAAATTATCTCAGACTCAAGAGGAAGATCATGTGGAGACAAATCTGAATAAGCCTTTGAGCTAAAGTTACCCTGGTTGAGGACAGGGTGCGACATGACACTCCATAATATTCTCTGCCCCCCTCATAAGCTTGTCAGCCATTTGAAGAATGCCCTATGTACTTCTTATATTTACATGATACACATCATCCAGATTGTTTCTCTAAGCTTCAAATGGCTGGCCGTTTGCTAAATAAAGCCTTCTGATTATTCTCCCGTGGGGTTGGATTTCACAAGAGTTTGCCATACCATCAGTGCACAGGGAGAGCTCCCACTGACGTCATTAGGAATTTTGGAAGTAGATCAGTAAGGGAGTCACCTGAGGGGGTAAAAACACTAGTGGGAAACTTAAGGGGGGTAGTATCCTATAGCTGGTTGCAACTAGAGTAGAACATTTGACTCAATGGAATTTACTTAAGTGTTGACTCCCCATCCAACAATGGATTTTGTGGGTCTACTCTAGCTGGCAATAGAATACTACTGGCTTTGGGCCACAGCTGCCAGAATAGCAACGCACACTGGGGGATTCAGAGTACTGTAGTCCAAAAGGCTATTACTCTGTGCCCCTCCTCAGTCAGTGCTCTTAATACTGTTTTAGTCTGGCAGAATCTTACAGAAGTTTGTGAGATTACATGAGAATAAGTGATCAGAGAATTACGTATTTTGCAAGAGTAGCCAGCATTTCTCGGAGAAGCATATACTGTATAATTTGCCAGGCTGTGGTTCCTAAATATATGCTCAAAGACTGGCTTTGTTTCATAATGACATACAGTAGTATGAAAAACATTCACCTGGAAGTGGTGCACCTGTGATAAGCAACCCACCATGAGCTTTGTTGTTGATCTACATTTACATTTATGCTCATGGCATAAACATTTTGCTTTAAAATGATATGATTCTAATTAAATACGGTGTGAATAGGAATATTACAAAAAAGGCCATTTTAAATATTTATTTTATATGTATTTTTTTTTTAAATCCTAAAAGTTATAGGCCTCCTTACACAGTTCAGAGGTACCCTTCGACGGTATACTGAGAGTGTTATACTTAATACTGAGGTATAAAAACATATATCTGCATGAGAATACATCTCATCTTGATTCCAAAGGGGAAGGGGATTAAATGTGAATAAATCATAGCATTCTTTCGTTTTTAAGTATTGGGTAATGGGAAAAGTTAGCTAATGTTATGTTTCGTGCATTTTATATTGCTCTTATTTTGTAGATGCATATATTCACAAAATCAGACACCTGACATTACGTACCACCTTAAGCCTGAAGGCATTCTTCACATTGGAAGCACTTAGAATAGGAGCATATATGTAGGTAAAACAGATTTTTCGGGTTTCTTTGCTCATTTTATGAAAATGGTATATCAATGAACAAAAGGATAGTGAAATGACTTTGGAACAGTGATGCTGAAAATGCATGATTTCAGACAAACAAATGGAAACATCTAAAGAGTATGGACACCAAAGACTGCATGAATATGTTTTCTGTACATACCTTCATTCTGGTCTTATTGCTTAGATATCTGTTTTGTTACTTAGGGGTCCCTAAAGGTTCACACCACCTTTTTTCAATGGAAGCTTGACTACCCACATTAAAGATACGATTTCATTCCCAAATGCATGGAAAATTATAGCTGTTCACGTTTTTTTTTAATTAGAAATTGATTTCATTGGGATGCAGATTGTCGCCTTAATCTACATCGATTCGAACACTTAAATAAACAAAAAATATCCAGTCACTTCCAAAGCATTGCTCGTAGGAACAAAGGTACAGCTAGAACAGCACAGTGCAATTACAGCTGTCTGCAAATTAATACCATCCACACAGCACGGCATGGGGGAGGGATAAGCATATTTGAGTACTCTGCAACAATCTGGATAAACCAAGCCATTTATCCTTGGGGATTTGATGTTGTATTAGATTATTACAGAAATCCTATTAAATTTTTCTATGTTACATACACATCAAATGCCAGAGAAGCATTAAAATGCAGAAAATACGAGTTTGCCGCACAAAACAGAGGTTTTTACCTCGCCTGGTTCACCCTCCTCAGTGAACTCTTCTTCAATGTAGTACTATAAACAAAGAAGAGACCTCATTACTTTGCACAAGATTATTCATCATGAGACACATTTCCCCCTTTGACTTAAAGAAGAAAGAGTAGGTCTGAAGACATATATTGGTGACAAAAGTCTTCCACCACAAACCAATTTTTTTTGAAGATTCCTGCTAGTATAGAAATAGATGAAGATTTATCTTTGTTCTACCGCAATTAAAGAACAATCCATCAGCACAAAACAGTTTTGGTGGGTGCCACTAGGATAACATTCCTTGTAACTAACACCTGTTGAATGTTGGGACAACAGACATAACCAATGCTAAGCCCCCAAAGCTGCACAGTTTGGAGTTTATTACACACATTTGTTGTGACTCCTTCTCATGGTGTGGCAACAATTAACATTCATTGGACCCCTGGATTCTTTGAACATCTGCAGTTATACCTTGTAATGACCAGGTATATGACTGTTTCTGTGTTCAAGATAAAAGAAGGAATTATGTATTCCACATATGTCAGTGTGCCATGAACAAAAAAGCAGTTTGTAGGATAGCTGGAGTCCAAAAAATTCAGAGCAGAGGTGATTGAAAATGCATTTGAATGCATACGTAGTGCCTTATTAGCTGTCACCATTGGATTCCCAAGTGAGCCGTGGAGCTCCTTCTCATGGTGTGGCAATAGTTAACATTCCTTGGACCCCTGGATTCTTTGAACATCTGCAATGACCATTTTTTGTGAGACACCTTGAAGATAAAATAACTCATCTCCATGGCAACTTGATGGTGCTAACGTAGCAGATCTACCTGAGTTGTTTAATGTCAGTCTCTGTCTAAATCTATGAGATCAGTTTAAGTTGTTGTGTCTTAAGGATGTAAACAAGGGGTTCACTGTGTCTGGAAAACATGGAGCCTCATGTTTGCTCTTTGGGGCCCATGACAGCTAAGAGAATGGGGCTGAGGGAATGGGAAGGTCAGTGAATGGACCCAGATTGCAACAAATCCAAGTGTACGCTAGAGAGTGGTTACTGCTGCTCTCAGAGATGCAGTGGCCATTTCTAAAGAAATTTACTCTGGCAATAAGAGCTGACCTTCTGGGGAAAGTACTTGAAAGAGTTATGATGGGACAGCTGCAGGTGCTCTTCAAGGATTCTCATTATACTGATTAACTGGACCCATGTCAGTGTGGTTTTCAGCCTGGTTATGAAGCTGAACTGGTATTCAGAGCAAACCTATTGCCCACACCTGTATAAATCAACATCCTAGTTTAATTTCCAGAAACCTCTGAGAGACACATAGAGCTTCCACTGGCCAATAGCTCCAAGGTACATTTAAATTTCAGCTGGTATTCATTATAGTCAGAGTAAGCATTCATCATGAAATATTACATAGGGAGATTTGTCTGAAATTGGTCATGTTATTTATAGTGTAATATGGTGAAATGGAGTCATATCTGATGCTGCTATGGATCATGCAAGAAAACAGGATCTATTCTCACACCTCTCTTGTACACTATTAACATTCTCCTCCTAAACAGAGTACAGGACAGAGGGGAGAGCAACCACTAAGACAATCATCTCCATTTCAGTGAGGGGAAACCAAAACAACAGGATAGAAATGCATATACAGCCAAAAATTTAACACCAGAGTCACAGAGAGTAGGGGAGCTGGCGGTTAAATAATTACAACCTAAAAATTAGTAACTTTGATCTTTATTTCAACCTGGCCTGTAAGGTCTACTGTTGCTGTTATCCTTCCTCCAGACGGTGAGGACAAGCCTGCCCTTTAGTTCTGCTCAACTAATATCTTGATGCACAGCATGGCTGTTTCACAGGCAAAGCTAATTATGAGTGTAAAGGGTTTTCAGTTGTTGTTAGCTGGAAAGGCAGCATGAAGACGATGGTATATGTTTACCAGGAAGGTCAGTACACCATTCCTGCAGCACTTAAAGCTTTTATTTCATTTTATTTTGAGGTTTGGTCAAGTTGGCATGGCTAGAACCTAACTTTAAACATCAGAATGGACTGCAGTTCTCTCTTCTACAAGCAGTTGTTTGTTTAAAATATAGCTGGTGTGGTTCAGTCTCAGGAGCTTATAAATCTTGTTATTTCACCCTCCAGGCTTCTCTTCAGTCACTTAGCCGAGCTGCGAGAAAATCCCACTCTTAAGTGGATGATGGCAGCTAAACTAACCTTTGGCTTGCTGTACAGCATTCTCTGACAAAGGTGCGGCAGTGATATGCCCAAGTAAGATTGGCTTTCCTGGTGATCCCTAGAAGAGGAAGGGGCACCATGGTACACCGCAATAAATTCTTCACAGGTACCGGTAAGTTAAGTACCCTACCTACTGGACTATATAGTTTTTCATTATTACACACTGTACCATGTCCAACTTTGTAGGACATACAACAGGGAGAGAAAGCCTTAAAGTAAATATTCCATTTCTATGGATCATATTAATCAAAAGTGTCTCTGAGGAAACCGGTGATACCAAAACAGATCACACCAACACCAACAATTGATGAATTGTTCCACAAAGAGCTTGGTTCAAGAAGCTTGCTTGTCTTTCTGGTCTGTATATATTGTCTGCCTAGGCAAAGAGAACAGAAAGATTTCTCTCTTCGGCTTCTTCTTCACCTGTTTGTCCAAGGGAACTGTGCATGTGCCATCACCAGGATGCACAAGTTTACATGAGCACCAGCACAACAGAGAGTAAAAAGAGAAAGAAGGCAGGAGGGGCAGAAAAGCACTTCACTGGGCATTTATTCTCCTGTAGAGCTGTGTTGCTAATTCTGTTCATAAATGAGGATGGGTGCCTGTATCCCTCAGAGAGTGTGAGTGTGTGTGTGTGTGTGTGCATGCATCAGAGAGACTGTGCGTCAGAGAGACTGTGAGAAATAATACCTTTGAATAATACATCTGACAACATGGGAGCATAAACATGTTTTTTTCCCTTTGCGGCCTACTGACCAGCTTGAAATTGGCAGTGCAGCCGCTGTACCAAGAAAAACAGTTTCCTACCTCTGACTTCAGTATCCTGTATCGATCAGTGCTACTAGATATCCTAAATGCAACATCCAGGCTATTTTTAAGAGTCCTCTATTACATGCCCTTTTGAATGCCATTTTGGTTCCTTACGAGCAAATGCTTCTTTGCTGAGAAATACTTCACATTTGTTTCTGAACATGAATCTGTTTCACACAAAGTTGGAACGTGAGGGCGCTGTTTTAACTGGCAAGCCATGGGGAGGACTGGGGCTATTTTTAATGCTTCTGGAAACAGCTAAGTAGCTTAAAAGTAATACCAGATGCAATTGTTGCCATCTTATTTCTAACACTTTACTCCAGTGGTCTCCAACCTTGGGCCTCCAGATGTTCTTGGACTTCAACTTCCAGAAATCCTGGCCAGCAGAGGTGGTGGTGAAGGCTTCTGGGAGTTGGAGTCCAAGAACTTCTGGAGGCCCAAGGTGGGGGACCACTGCTTTACTCCATCTATGAATATCCTAAGGAAGAGGAGAAAAGATGACAGATAATCTGTATAAATAATTTTGCATAGCTCTGTTCCAGGTGAAAGAAAAACGACAGTGTGCAATACAAAACAACAGTTATGGAGAACAAACAAGAATGAGAGAATGGGCATGATTACCAGACATTTATGACATGGAGGGTATGAATAGGTGGAAATTAAGATTGTTCCTGCTGCAAGAAGAAAGCAGCTGCCTTCAGGAAAATTTCTCCTTCATTGCGACTTGGTCATCAGCAAGATACATCAGGCCAGGGTTGGGGACATTCTGTCCATCTAGTCATTGGGTTACAAATCCCAGTCCTGTCCTGGTCATTGGCCATGATGGTTTAGACTCGGCACAGTTGCCTGACTGAAGCTGGAGGGCCACACATTTCCCCAACTCTGTAACAGAGAATGCTTGGCATGCTGGTAGAATGGAATGGCATTACTTAAAACTGAAATCCTTATAAAATATCAAACTGAACATTGAATGTTCCCATACCACCAAGGGCTCTAACTACCTCCTGCCTGTTTTTAAGACTCACGTCTACAAGCTGCAAATTCCTTGTATTGACCTTGTGAAGAAAGACATTTGAGGTCCATGCTCATACCCATTTCCAGGATATTGGGGAGAATCCTCTTTTGATTTGATACAGACATTAGCATTAACACTGGATTGGCTTTCCTCCAGCATTATGTCATGGGGTATTCATTACTTTCTTATGCATGCAAAAGCCCCATTGCTTTCACTGGGGTAATTGCTGAGTCATTCATGCTGTGCGCCCAGGGCATTACACTGCATGTTTGCTCAACTGGATAGTGCCCACCAAGTCAATTCCAAATAATAAAGTATTTTATACCAGGTTGGAATGTTGACCATCTAGCTTAATACTGTCCAAATTGACTGGCAATAGGTTTTCAGACAAAAATATTTCCCTATTTGATGTGGTCATACTAGAACTAAACCCCAGACTTTTATATACAAGGGATGTGCTCTACCACAGAGCAACATCTCTTTCCCCATGACATCCATTGAGATAACCCTACTGAACCCCCTTTTTTTTACACTGGGCTATATGAACCTTATGGGTGTCCTATGTGTGTGAAAAGGAATGGTGGGCAAGTTCATAAATATCCAGAATGATCTTGATTGAAAGCATATGGGTGAATAACCATGGTCACTCTGAGTTGCTTTATCTCCAGTAAAGGTAGTGTGGACCTTCCTGTCCATTTTGCTTAAAAACTACATTATTAGCAGTAATTTATTGTCATATGAGCAACATTTACAGCACTCTTCTCCAAAGAGTTAACGTATGAAGGCTGAGGGCAGCCAAGGGAAGAAAGGGCCATATGCTGTGGGTCCGATGGCAATTTTATATATATATTAATTGTATTTTAATTGTTACATGTCTTTATTGTATTTTAAATGCTGTAAGCCGCCCAGACACCTTTGGGTAGTGGGGCGGCATATAAATTAAATAAATAAATATAACTGTCATCATCTTTGTCATACACTGTTGACAACTCAAGTGTACTGGATTTTTGCTGGGAGTAGTCAACTGCCTTGGGAGGTCAAGTCATACTGATAATCTCTATTTTTGTAACTGACAAGTCAGATAGTGAATCTGAAGAAATGTTTTAGATGCAATGAAGTCAAATTCTTGACTTGTCATTACTTGGCAATGTTCCTTCTAAGTAATGCATCCATACCTCTCAAGAAGTTAGTGGAATGTTTGGGCCTTACCTCCACCACCTCCTCATATTCTTCTTCTTCTGCCATCTTTGCAGCGAGCCTCTCACCTACTCACTGACCATAAAACAAGAACAGATCAACATTAGATCATTGAACTCAGTGCTACACATTACTAGTCATAGGCATGCATGCATCATGGTTCAGAAGTAAGTAATATCATACGGATATTTTGAATTGTAGCTCATTCCATCATATAGGAGGTTTTTTAATTACATGATTGCCCCTAACCCAAAAAATCCCACTTCAGCAGTTCTATTTATAAATGCATTAAAAAAATATCCATTGTCCTTCAAAAATGCCAAAATAACATAAGCCACAACCAAATAATGCATTAAAAAATATCCATTGTCCTTCAAAAATGCCAAAATAACATAAGCCACAACCAAATAAGAGGCCATTTGAAATGTACAACTCCAATTGCAATTGTTCTTGCTTTTATAAAACTTGTATTTTTCTCCATTATGTTGTATCTCATACTGTAGAAAATCAGATTTTAAATGTCAGGACATTAGGGTTGCTAGCATACTTAATTCAAGGAATGGACTTCCTTACATCCTTTAGTCAAGCATATTTTCACTGTGCCCTGAGATGGAAATTATTAATTTTTTTTTCAACGACAGGTCCCAGAAAACCCCTGCCGGGCACAGCCAAGTTTACAGTATGTCTGTAGGTTATGTTAGATCATGGCACTCATGTTGTCTGGAACACAATCCAGCAGCAACATTATGTTCTCTTTACATATTCCAGTTGGGAACATACTGTTGTAGTCATAATTAGTTCTTATCTGCCCAGATGTCATTGGCATTCATAAAGCAAATAAAGAGGTAAATCCTATTATGCATCTGTTCTCTCACATTTATTTGTGTGATGTACAAAATATGTCAGATAACTGTTTAGAGTGATATTTCAGATCAAATGCAATGCATCACATAAGAACTCTTATTCCTTTATGACCAAGGGGATTTCTAAGAAGCATTTTATTCTGAGTTTTACTTGTGTTTTTAATATTGTTTTTATTACGTGTTTTAATGTGACAGTTGTTTAATGCTTTTTAAATGTAATCATTTATTATTTGGCTTTAATTTTTTTTTTTAATGCTGTAAGCTGCCTTGGATCCTTCAGGAGAAAGGCAGCATATAAATAGTTTAGAGAAAGAAAGAATAAGGAAGCAGTTGGAAATAGTCAGAAGCAGTAGCTGCATTCCCAAGGCATCTGTGTTGAAGACTGTGCACTGAACGTTAGTCATAAACCTCTGAGAGAAAAGGGAAAATAGCAACTCTGTCACCCTTGTAAGTATCTTCTAGCAAAAGTCAAAATGTAAGGAGTGGTTAATTGAAAGCCCTTTTAATATTCCTTGGATACAACTATCATATGTAGTGTTAATATATGGGATTGCTGTTAGAATGCTCCAAACCTTCTCAGTCAACAAAAACTATCATTTGGCTGGGATAAACCATTTGTTGTGCCATTATAATATTATAAAGAAGCTGCAATCAGATAATATTATAAGGAAGCTGCAATCAGATAAGTCTTGCGGGGGAAATTAAGATACGTTGTTGGGGTTTTTTATTTATATACCACTCATAGTTCTAGAGCACTCTCTGGATGGTTTACAACAGTCTTGGGGGGAAAATTAAGATACGTTGTTGGGGTTTTTTATTTATATACCACTCATAGTTCTAGAGCACTCTCTGGATGGTTTACAACATCCATAGTGCTAGAGCACTCTCTGGATGGCTTACAACATAAATATGCAAACCACACTCTCCCCCCCCTCCCCATGGGAGCTGGGTACTCATTTGAGCATGACTTAGTGAGTATCCTTCCCATTAATATCGCACAATCAGAAGTAGGGGGAAGCAGCTTGGTCACCTGTGTTCACTTCCAAATGACCTGTAAATATGTCAGGTAAATTACTTATGGTGGCCCTTTTCAGGGTTTTCTAGGTAGAGAGTATTCAGAAATGGTTTACCATCCCCTTCTTCTCGGGACATCCTGGGACTGGGCAGCTTGCCCAAGGCCACACAGGCTGGCTCTACTCACAAGGGGGCACAGTGGGGAATCGAACTCCCAGCCTCTGGCTCCACAACCAGATACCTAAACCAGTGAGCTCTCCAGCCAACATAACAGTCATTAAAAAATACATTTAAATAAACCTGTTTAAAACTCAGCTCTTTGTTCCTCTTTTCAGGCTGCAAAATGAGCCACCAAACTATTTATGTAAGTAGCACTTAAGCAATTTTTAAATGGACTTTTAATTCAGTATTTCCTGACATACACATTCCAATAACAGCTTATTAGCACACTTTTCTTTTTGTTGTTACTGCCTTTAAATTAATGTATACAGTTGTTTTAATATACTGTACATTCACTGCAACATATCCTTAAATCCTTTTTTATGCAGCCACTTACACATTCTAAGCACAGTGAGACCACATTATGCTCTTATTTGCAAAGCTGCTATAACAAAAATATCGCCTGGGCACATACATAAGCATTAAATCACTGCAAGGTATATAAAATGACCTTAAGTCAAGGAAGTTAACGTCTCTCTTCCCACCATTGGCCTTTGTGGATGCTCCCTTTGTTTGCTTCTGCTGTTCTTTTCTTTATGTGTGTTTTCCCTTCAGGCCTAGAAGACATCAAAACACTTACTATAGCTTGGGTGCGTATATGAAATGAATCAATTAATTCACTGGAACGTCCTCTGAACTTGCCCCAAGGGACTGGGGCCCCTATTTCCAGTGCAGGCAAGGAGATGAAGGCTTGCAACAGCTGCTTCCTAGTGCAAAGATATGTGCTCTGTAAGCTAATCCTTCAGTACGATTGGCTGGTTTTGTTTAGCTAGCTAAACTGCCATTCCTTCTGAGGCAAGTGGTGGTCCAGAACTATGGGTTAAATTTAGGTGCACAGTCTCTTCCCGGTGCTAGTTTTACTCAATTAAAAGTGAAATAAAATAGAATTTAGAAGCCTAATCTACAAAACTGGCTAACGTTCTAAAAGATAAACAGGAGAGGGAGGTCATTAGGAGGTACTTAGCTGGAGCGCTCATTGATCTACCTAGTCCTTGTGCCACACCACCATGGAGCCATAATCTCTTTTCCCCTCAGGTAAATTACCAAATGTTGCGCTGACCTCTCATACCAAGTAGGATAAACAAGCATTGGTGAAGAATTACGGAATACAAATACTCCTATTCTGACAAAAGTCCAGTATCCCTTTTTAAAAAAAGCAAACTCCTTGATTGGCCAATACCAATTCTGGGTTGTTGTTGTTGTTGTTGTTTAAAAAAATAGCAACAGATATTTTGAAAAGATGGGCTTACCAGCAATTTTAAATAAATTTCCTTAGCAGCAAAGCCTCTCCAACTGTCCTCCTTCCTGAGAAACGCTGGGCAAAAGCAGAGTTAGCCCGAGGCACCAGCTCCTAAATTATCATGTGGCTGGGGAAGCCAATCATGTTTCATCTTGATCAAGTTTCAGATGCTAAATATATATAGTGACCCTCTGGAAGACCACCTGTTCAGCAATCCCACAAAGAAAACTTAAGCCACATATGCTAGCCATTCGTCTGGGTTCTAACCCAAATCAAAACATAGGAAGAGTGTCAGCTCAACTCAGTTATGACTCATGGCAAAGTACAGATAGGTTTGACTATGGCGTGTTATGATCAGAGATGATCAGCATGACATACTAAGGGAGAGTAGGGGTGAATGGTGCACATGTTACCCCAACTGAGAACTGTGGCTTTTGTGCACTGACAGGCGCTCTGCCCCTTTCTGCCAGGGGCCAGTAACAGAGCCAGCCAATCAAGAACTTGGTCCATTGTTTCTCCATTTAACTAACTCAAATTTGATTACATCTTAAGGCCAACCAAAACCAATAGATAAGGTGCAGGTGTTGAGTGGAGTGATAGTTCTTGCCTGCAAAATCCCTGAAGGCCTGACAGGTTTAGGCTATCAAGGCCAGAGATAAATGGAGTTACTGTAGTATGGCTCGTTCAAGAGTTGGCTTTCTGGTTCTCAGTGCACCGAGTTTAGCTGTTTATATGTACGATTTAGCAATAATTTACTTCTAGTCTCACTACTAGTGTAAGATTGACTTCTGGTTAATAATAATAGGTTGGAATTTTATAGATGGGTCAGACCAATCAGGGTCTTCCGATTTTCTCCTCACAGCAGTCCTTTAGGTGGTGCATTCCAAGGTACATATAGGTGATTTATTGGAGTACAACTTCCAGAATACCTCATAACTGGCCACACTGGCTGGGGATTCTGGAAGCTGAAGTCCTACGACCATTTAAGTTGATAACCACTGTGCTAGATTCTTCTAATCATAAAGCTGTTCCTATGTACACAGATCTTGTGTTTTGTAACCCACCTGCCTTTTGCAAAGGGACAAGATTTGTAGACAGACTGAGGGGGCAAAAAAGGAAGGATTCTCCATTAAAAGATGAATCCATAATATGGATCACATTCTGAATTAAGATACATGATGGTCAGCTAAGAGTTGTGAACATGGCCATAACATGTGTCTACTTGTGTTATTTTCCATATATGGGAAAATTACTTTATGGACTACAATCCCCAAATACTCCAGACAGCATGGTTAGTAGATTCTGGAAGAAACCAACACAGTGGTGCAATTGTGAGAGGAACTGGTTTTGCTCATTGGCAGTTCTAACAAACACTCTGAGGCAAGAATATTATCACCATCCTCTAGTCTCAGTGCCTGTGAGGAGAAAGTGTATGAGGCCATTAAAGAGATATATTTAGTTGTTTCACGCAGCTCTTCTTTATGGTTTTGCCAGGTTTAGCAGGGTTAGTAGAAATCAGAAGGAAACGCCTCTGAGAACACAGTTGTGTTACTTGTAGTGTGAGTTTAACCCAAACTCCCTTTTCCTTCTTAATGTGACTCCAAAAACTTTTCACCCAATCCTCCCCATGCTTACTCTATACATTTATTGTTTGAGTTGTACAATGCACTTATTTCAGGTGGGCCTCTGTGTGTTTTACATAATACAACTTATTCTGTTCCTCCCATTGGCTCTAGCTGTCGTTGGGTGCTTGATTTGCTTTCTTTGTGTGGCTCATTAAAACAATTATTTCCCTTGCTTTTGTTTGTGTACATGTGTGTGCACATGTCCACAGACGCACATGCTATTATGTGCAATTCAGTATTCATCTAAATCCTGCCAAGAAGCATATTTTATTCACAAAGTACATCTATTACGATGATATTGCACAGCTGATTCACACTGTGAATGTGAATCACAAAAAGAAGAATCATTATTGTAATTTTATTGCCCATTCTTGTAAAAAAAATTGTCTATTTGATTCACAAAAAACTACACCTTAATTTTCAGGCCATTGTTATATCTCCACATCGTTTAAACAGTCATATGCTGTTTACAATGTCACTTCCACAGTTACCATCATGTTACCATTATACCTGCTCATTAGCTTAACTTAATGAGTCATGTGGAATACCAGAAATACAAAGGCTACCCCTAGGGCCAGATGGAAGTTCTCCTCTATCTGAGCCTGAAATCAAAGGTATGAAGGAGGAGGCGGTGGCAGCACCTTGGCAGAGGCAGCCTGGGAGAGAAGGCGGGCTGTCCGGGTCACAAAAGGCAGGCATGGCTGGGGACCACTCTAAAGTAGGCGAGGATCCCAGGACGGGTGTCTACCTTTACTGTAGGGCGTAAATAAGCAGGGGGCAGACGGCCAGGGCAGCCGCCGCCTGTTCAACCACCTTCAGAGGCAGCATCAAGCATCCCTGTTGGGAATAGAAGGAGAAAAGTCACACCAGCAAGGGCAGGACCAAAGAGTGCTGGATTCTCTGGCAGCCGTTCTCCGTTTGTCCCCTGCAAGAGGCTTTTCTTTGTCTGCTACCCACATCGGCCAACCGCTGCTGCCTGCCTAGAGTGGCCTTTCAGTGAAATACTCTGATCCTTACATTTGGTCTTTGCTGCACTATTCTGTTCAGCAGTACATTAACGATGAACCTTAGAGATATTCTTTAGGGCTTTAGCATGGTGACATTACTACGACCATCACCACCACCCTGGCAATGGGCTTCTAAGCCCTGCCGCCTCTTGATCCCTGTGTTATCCTTCAGGGCAGTGTTTCAATCCATCCTCCTAATCTTGTTTGCTTTTTACACTTACTATTTGGTGCAGTCCTTAATTGTGAACTTGGAGATTTTCTAAGGGCACTTGGAAGGTGTGACCAACACAGGAGAAAAGCAAGGCTGAACATGAAAGTGTGTGTACATATTTGTATTATTTTTAAAAAAGCAAAATCTAAAGGTGACTGGTACACAACCCCTGGAAGCTATCTGAAATTTGTCAGAATTATTCCCCTCTTTTAATTGTATGATATTTCACAGATATTGGAGAAAACACAAAGTTATAGCTCTTGCAGTTTCCCAGTGTGAGTGCTGATTATCAGACTTTCCACGTTGATCTGGAATCTGGACCTGGACTGAATCAGACGGGGTCTATACCACTCAAGAACAAATCAAGATCCAGTCCAAAATGCCCATTTGCCCCTCCAAACCAAACTGCAGGACCGATGCCTGGGTGAAGATGACTCCAACTGAGATTCTGTGATGCCCATTGATTTTGCCTGGCATAAAATATACACAACCTGAGTACAGGTTAAAGATATATATTCAGTTATTTCACACAGTTCTTCTTTATGGTTTCCCAGGTTTAGCCAGGTTAGTCGTAATCAGAGGGAAAGGCCTCTGAGAACACAGCTGTATTGCTTGTAATCGGATTGGGGGAAGGTAATGGCCTTCAAGGATCATATTTATTTTTTGTTCTCTGCTTTCTTTACTTGGGATATGATGATGATCTATCTTCTCAGTTCACTTCATCTTTTAAAGGAGTGCCTCACCTATACGCTACAATCTAGAGACTTGGGATTAATTTTAGAGGTCAGACACATTTGAGTGACACCATAGTACTTTTACGATGCTTCAAGACAGATGCAGCATGATCCACCCGTAGTTTAAGACGAAGTGCAAGCTTGTGACTTCATTGACGTCTTTTGAATGATGAATTCAGTTTCCAAATTTAAGCATTCTCAATTACTCAATACATTTGGTTCCAAAAAAAGTTTTTCCCCAGGTATGTCAGGGCACCTGTTTATAGGTCAAGATTGAGAACTTACTCCTTTTTTTTTTGTCTGTGTAAGATTTCCAGTTGTTCTGCTGGATTCAACTCTGCCCCTTGTTAGTTCGTGACACATTTAACACATTACTAGTAGTGGCCCTCATACAAGAAAGAAGGAGACAAATTCCCCTCTACCCACTTAAAACAAGATATGCATCCTGGTCTCCCAGGTTGTATCCACTGCCACAGCAGTGCAATTCCTATGATCCTGTACTATTCTGTCCACTGGGGGATAATCAAGGGGGCTTCTATAGGACCAGCCCAATAGTTGCAAGCACTAGGAACACCTAAGTTACCAATTAGACAAGAGCAATTTCATCGGTTGTCCCATTCATTTATAAACTATGAAAAGCATATCGTACCAAATCCCGAACTTGAAAATCAACAGCAACAACAAAAGTGCAGGCAGATAACAAAGGGTGCAGAAGGGTGCAAAACTTTGGTGATTGCTTCACGAATAGTATTAAAAGCAACAATTTTAAAAGCATCCATAAATAGAAGCAGAAAATCAGCAAGGGAGGTAGATGAACCACTTATAAGAGTGTATGATGCACAAGAGGGGAAGAACCAACCATCTGAGTATTTATTTGTATCTGTGTTCACTGCAGACAATGAAGCTAGATTCCTTACCTTCACTGACATTTTTTTGAATGGGAGCTGAAGTATATGAGATGAGTTCTAGACCTTACCGCTAATAAACAAATTAAATGTGAAATACCTAATTTGCTCACTAAAATATGTAGATTTCCCCTAAGATTGACCTTTATACAAAAGAACTGAGAAGTGGCCAGTCTTATGCCTCTTTTTGCAAAAAGAAAGACCCAGAAAGAATCATGGATGTAGAAAAGAAATCTAGGAGACTGCAGCATAATAATTCCTGATATTGAGAATATTCTCCTTTGGTAAAGTTGTATTTAATGACCCTTATGGCTTCTTTTCAGCTATGCAAATCTGAGAGTCTGCTAAAAGATAAGGTACACTCCTCCAGTGAAACTATCTTTATTTGAAATATGCATGTTTTGGAGCAAAGTTCAGAATCTAGACAGATTCTAGACAGGGAATCCTGGCTCTTTGAGGACTGAGCAAAGAACCTGAGTTCCTTTATTTTCTTTTAGAAGAGGTAGCTATGCTAGTCTGCGCTAACATATCAGGCAAAATCCAAAGAAACAAAACAAAAGAAAACAAAGACAAAGACATGTGGCACCTTAAAGACAGTATCTT